GCCACATGTTTACCCCCCCCCCCCCTCCCTGGGCCACCTGGTCAATGCTTATGCCACATGTTTACCCCCCCCCCCTCCACCCCCTTACGCAGCAAAGCACCTACCTACCTACCTTCCTGCAAAACTGTAAATGGAGATAAATGATACGCGTTTTATTTACTTTACTGTATTTGTATGTTTTGTGTGTGTATAAATATCAGTGTGTTCAAATAAGGATGATTTCTGCAACAGGTACAGCAAGCCGGTAGGGAATTTATTTATTCACGTAAAATTTATCAAGAATTATGAAGGAATTGGAGGTTAAACTCAGCATGGAGTAAACACAACATGAAGCCAGCCTAACCATCTGAGATCGAGCGAATAATGAAACCATCAGGTAAATTGTGGGAACGACATCTTGTACTAGATTCATCAAGAAACAGCAGATAAAGTGGTTTGGTCATCTCGTTAGAATGCAGCAAGATCAAATACCATCACAAGCTCTACATCTCAGAAGATCAGCTACAAGAGCAAGAGGACTGCCGCGGAAATATGAATCAACAACATTAAAGAAACTCGACGCTTCCACGGCAGAAGTGGTTTATGATGATGATGATGACTGGGATGTTATGAGAAAGAATGGGTTCGAAAACTCGGTGCTAGCTGGCAAGGTTGACCGAGCAAGGGAAAGGCAAAGAGAGCTTTAGGTTATAATTGTGACCAGGTTATGTGGACCACATAAAATGGCTTAGCATTGCACACCAAGAGATCTGAAATGGATTCCTACAGTGTTGACGCGATAACAGGAAACCGACCCAAATACAATCTCGACTAGTGTCGAAGTAGTCTACCGGCGAGCCAATGGGTAAATCAGTGGCCGATAGAGTTATGATTCTGCAAGCAAATAATATATAGACAGAAGAACAGCGAAATGCCTAGAGGACGATGAAATATGGCGGCGCAGTGGGAGCAATTTTGAACAAAATCTTCTGTTTATTTTGATGTTTTCAATCTGATGACAGTTAAACTTACAGCTTAGTTAAACATTACCGATAACGGTAATTTTTTTATCATACTAACACGTATCGACGATAACATAACACAGGTGGGAGAACAAAAATCGTCCAGTAAATATAAATCTACCGGAGTTCATCAACTTGTTCCCCGTCATATATGACATGTTTGTTTGCTTTTCTTTGAACTGTTGAGTCTTTGAACTGTTGAGTTAACAGTTCAGTCTGAAACTATTATAATTTGTTTTATTTTAATTTAGACATGACGAACTAGTCTATTGAATACGTGCATCTCTAGTGTTAATAACTAAGTAACTCAAAACTAACAATAATGAGACATTTCCTGTGTACTGTGTACTGGACTCTTGTGGTGTTGCCAAACAGTTGTTGGTTTTTTTCGGCTATCCTCCGAATAACGGGCACAAAAGATGGCGGCCAATGGCAGCCAAAAACGGGGCCCCAGTTACGTGTCAATTGCTCACTTCCGGCGACTTAATTTGCGGTTTTCCGGCGACAGCCGCCACCGCCAAGAGTCCCCTGGCGTGGATTGGGGCTAAACTAGATGGCTAGGACTCAAGAGGAAAGCTGCTCGTGAGTCCCAGCCATCTAGTTTAGACCTAGTTCACACCGCTTGTGGGACACTTGGCGGTGTGGGCAGTCGCCGGAAAACTGCAAATTAGGTCGCTGTAAGTTGGTGTCCAGTTGACACGTGACTGAGGCTCTGTTAGGATGTTTTTGCGGTCACCATCGTTTGTGCCCGTTATTCGGAAGATAGCCGTTTTTTCTTCGGGTCAGATTAATTAACCACACTTCACACTGTTTGAGTTTTTTAATTTATTGATTGCCAATAGATACCAACATTCAGTGATTATGAGTTTATACAGGGGCACTGACTGTCACTAACTACTAATTTCACAAATAGCGGCAGTTTTTCCTGTGAGTATGACTGACAGCAACAGGCCAAAACAACAGCAGAAGAAGCAACTAACCCGCAGTAGAACCCAAAGGCTTCATAATCTGCATATTTAATTTTCGACACCAAAAGCAAGCTTGTGCAGAGTAACAGTGAGTGACTGGCCAGTTTATTATACTTTAGTTGATGGTTTTCACTTTATAATTTATTTATGGTTCTCTGGTAATGAAATCTGGGTTTCAGCTTCATAGCAAATGGGTCGCCCCATAGTTGCTCCTCACCTGTGCCAATGAAAAACACACATAGAATGTCCATCACTGTCAACTGTCCTTGTGGAAATATTAACACAGACAGCAGTCTCATCATGTCCACCAGCATGCATACACCTTAAAATCTCAAGGCAGCCATCAGAAGTGCTAACACAAACAGTCCGATATTAGACATGCAGTTCACCATTGATGGAAGCAGCAGCCACAAACAGATCAGCAGTTGCTGACAGGATCAGTTGTAATCACATAAGGCACCACCAATTCTGTGGCAACAAGTTATGCTCCAGTTTCTGAATCTACACTCAGCAGTTGAAAAACATTCCAAATAAAATCCACAGCTCACAGTGTCATGCCATGCACTCACCCCAGTAGATGGGCAACAAAACTATATCCTGTCAGTCTACAAATGGAGAAGAATGCAATGGCTACTGTCTTTCAGAAGCAAAAAAAACTTGCCACGACCAACAAATGTGACCACACCTATCATCCATTTTGACCAGAAGTGTCATTCATTTCTAGTTCATAGGCCCCCTACCCGAACAAACGTCTTAATAGTTGACTCATTAGGGATGTTTCCTTCAAAATCACAGTGCATTTGCCTGAAGAACCAACATTCTACAGACAACCCAGGTCTGTAAAACAGATATGCACACAAAACTCTGGTACTCGTACAAGACTGAAATCCAGAAGAGGATGAACTACCAGAACCTTCTACTGGAGTTAGTTTACGGGAAGAAGAAGAAATGTATCTTCTCACTTTTATTTATGGTTCTCATGTATATCTTCTCATTGTTATTTATGGTTCTTATGTATATCTTCTCATTGTTATTTATGGTTCTTATGTTTATCTTCTCACTGTTATTTGTGGTTCTCATGTTTATCTTCTCACTGTTATTTATGGTTCTCATGTTTATCTTCTCATTTTTATTTATGGTTCTCATGTTTATCTTCTCACTGTTATTTGTGGTTCTCATGTTTGTCTTCTCTCTGTTATTTGTGGTTCTCATATTTATCTTCTCATTTTTATTTGTGGTTCTCATATTTATCTTCTCATTTTTATTTGTGGTTCTCATATTTATCTTCTCATTTTTATTTATGGTTCTCATATTTGTCTTCTTACTGTTATTTATTTACAGTTCCTGTCTTTATTTGTTTGTTAATCACCTTCTCTTGCTGGTTAATGATCTCACAGAATATCTAGCTACAGGTGCAGAATATGGCAGGATCTTGCATCTGTCAGCTAGTTATATTTGGGATTTTTTTTAGTTGGAACTTTTCTCGTTGTACTAATATGCCTCAGAGATTTTTACGTTTAGATTCTAATAGTCGTAAGTGAACGAACAAACAAACTTTATTTTCAAAGGGTCACAAATTGGGCACGCAGGCCCGTCTTACATTTGGCCCTTCCAGTCAACCATCTTTCGCACAGCAGTTGTATTTTACATATAAAGCATGTTATGATCATATGATGATATGCATATTATGAATATTATAAAAGAACACAAAAGCATGAGTTGTAAAGTGCATGCAAAAACCTGCATGTGCATACATACACCCACTTACACACGCTCACCCATTCACTTAAACACACATATATGCATGTATACATACATACATACATACATACATACATACATACATACATACATACATACATACATACATACATACATACATACATACATACATACATACATACATACATACATACATACATACAAACGTTCATACATACATACATACATACATACATACAAACGTTCATACATACATACATACATACATACATACATACATACATACATACATACATACATACATACATACATACATACATACATACATACACATACATACACATACATACATACATACATACATACTGGCATACATACATACATACTGGCATACGTACATACATACATACTGGCATACGTACATACATACAAACTGGCATACGTACATACATACATACTGGCATACGTACATACATACATACATACGTTCATACATACATACTGGCATACATACATACATACTGGCATACATACATACATACTGGCATACATACATACGTTCATACATACATACATTCATACATACAGTGAAGATGTTCTAGGCATCCATGAACACATTAGCAACTGTGAATCTCTGCTAACAACAATTTCAAATTACAAAAAGACAGCAAATGCAATGAGGACATGTAAGGTTTGCCAGCTTTTCCAGAATGAAACTACCTGCCTTGGTACAGGGACAGAGGAGAAGAACCTAAATTCAGAATTTCCCTGACTGGACAGGCCTTACGGCTATCCTTCGATCAACGGGCCCTAAAGATGACGGCCGCAAATTATCCGTTCGAGCCGCAGTCAGGTGTCCCCCACGTTGCTCACGAGGCGTGGATTGGGGCTAAACTTGATGGCTAGGTCTCACGAGCAAAGCTGCAGGAGATGCGGAAGTAGTTGAAAGTGCGCAATTGACTGCAGCTCGAACTGATATTTTGTGGCCGCCATCTTTAGTGCCCCTTAATCGAAGGATAGCCGGTCTTACATTTGAAAACATCAAACCCTTAGCATCTGATCATCAAAGGTGGGAAGGGGGGTGGGGGAGGGGTTGGGGTCTGATTATCAAATGAAACACTATATTATGGGACTATGATGATTGTGAACTCCTATGTTATGAAGTCGTGTTTATCTGCTAAACTTTCATTTCATCATCATCGTCATCAAGCCACTGTTATAAAACAAATATATGTGCGATGATAATTTCCTCAGCACAGTTCAACCAGCCTGCAGTTGTGACTTGTCTGTCACCCTGGAGTCGGATGACATGATTACTGCCTGTGAAACCCAGGACTTCATTCCCTTTGGCAGAGAGTACATACATCAACATCCTGGGCAGTTTCAGATCCAGAGAAAAGGGGGATCACCCATAACAGATCATGGAATTCCTCTCATCAAGTCGTTCAAGGAGATTTCTTTACAGGAGTCTGTCAAGGTAAGGTTTTGAGAAGGTACAAATGAATGAACGAATGAACAAACTTTATTTTCAAAGGCTCACTAATTGGGCACCCAGGCCCATCTTACATTCGGTTCTTTCAAACACCCATCTTTCACACAGCAGTTGTATTTTATCAGTAGAGCATGTTATATTCATTTAATAATATGTATATTGTTAGCCTCTCTTGGCAGTGGTGAAACGTCACAATCTAGCTTGGTTTGGGCATGTTAGAGACGTGATTTAATTGCAAAGACTGTACTTCAAGGAACATTGTGGGGTAGTCAAAGAAGAATAGGGCGCAGAAAATCTATTCATTATTATTCATCAAGCGGAAGACAGAAAAGATAGCAGGTTTTTATGGGCTAGTGCTTCCATCAATACACCTCCACGACCCTAATCGGGCAAGGAATTATGTTATATTGTGAATATCAAGAAAAAATATAATAGCATGGGTGGTAAAATGCATGCGCACATTTGCGCGTGCACATACACGCGCCCACCCACTCACTTAAATTTGCATATATACACACACATTCCACATACATACATACATGCACACACATTTACCCACAGAAACAAGCACACACACACACACACACAGGCACACACCGACATACAGACACACACCCACAGACACACACATACAGACATACATACATACAAAGCCGCAGATACAGGTACAGGAGACAAGCTGGGAGTAGGATTCACTTTCACAATGCAGACCACTCAAAGTGATCTCAGTTGGGGTGATTTCTGTTGTGATGAACAATTTGTGCATCTTTAGCAATTTGTCTTCTTTGTACAAAAAAAAAAAAAAAAAAAAGTCTGGTTAAGCAGAATCTATTTGTCATTAATTTTCGGATGTGTTCAATGAATAAATGTGTCCCAGGCTAAAAAATTATTCTGCTTGAGGGGAATTTCTGTCACAATTTGATCTTCGTCTGTATTAAAATATGGATATTTTCCCTAAAAAATGGCTGAAAAGTTATAATCAACATCTTTGAATAGAAGGATTGAGCTATTACAAAAATTTGAAATAGTGCCCCCCCCCCCCCCCCCCCCCCCCTAAAAAAAAGGACAATAGCAAAGATCAACACTTCCAGCAATCATTTAAAAAAAATGTAGGAAATATTATTCTCTGATTATTTGTGCCAACTTAGTACATTAACACTTTTGGTGATTTACATATTTTCTGTTATACATCTGTCGTATTCAACACTAATTCACCGTTGAATTGTATATTTAAATGCATTTTGATATGCTTGAACTCTAATTTGGGTAAGAGGAATTTCTGATAACTACTTCTTGGGTCCTCGGTGAGTTCTCCTTATCAGGTTTGCACTGTACTGGGTTACAGCATTAAGGAGTGCAATGGCTAGTCGCAGGAGAGGACCAGTGGTGATGACATTTGTCATTGACATGTCACAGTCCTAGTCAGATTGACGAGACAGTGCATGGTTGTTATGTCACCTGCCAGTCGCAGGAGGGGACCAGTGGTGATGACATTTGTCATTGACATGTCACATACATAGATAGTCAGATTGATGAGACAGTGCATGTTTGTTATGTCACCTGCCAGTCGCAGGAGGGGACCAGTGGTGATGACATTTGTCATTGACATGTCACATACATAGATAGTCAGATTGATGAGACAGTGCATGTTTGTTATGTCACCTGCCAGTCGCACGAGGGGACCAATGGTGATGACATTTGTCATTGACATGTCACAGACATAGTCAGTCAGATTGATGAGACAGTGCATGGTTGTTATGTCACCTGCCAGTCGCAGGAGGGGACCAGTGGTGATGACATTTGTCATTGACATGTCACAGACATAGTCAGTCAGATTGATGAGACAGTGCATGGTTGTTATGCCATCTGCCAGTCGCAGGTGGCGGACTAGTGTTGAGGAATTTTGTACGATGGAAGGTCAGTAAGTCACAAATGGTTGTTTAAAACACACACACACAAACTTCAGACGATAACAACTTGGAAACCATTAATTTTCACACATACACTGTCCTTTTATTTTTCAACATAATTTCCACTACCATTGATGCACTTGTTCTATCATTTTAACAGTCCTCCCAAACCTGCTACATACAACTGTGTGCTCTGTTTTCTAAACCACATTTTCACATTCAACTTCTCCGCCATTCACAAAATATTTCCAGTGGACCAATATTTTTTAAATATAATGGTCTGTTTATGCTCAGTGAGAATATATTTCTGTTGTATTCAGAAAGAGAACTGGCTGTTCAGGAAACATGATGGTAGTGATGACAACAGCAAGGACTCTGTGTTTGATGAAGAGTTGTATGTTCGGGGTGCTTCCGTAGTGTGGAGTCGCGGAAGTCAGGATGGTGGACGCACAGTGGTGAAAACATTTACCATGGATACACCTGTGCTGCAGGTAATTGAGTCTAAATGTGCAATTTATCTAACAGTAAAACTTTTTTCCATTTTGAAAACTCAGAACCGGTTAATAATTTTATAGAATATCAAAAAATCAAATGGTTTGGTCATCTGGTCAGAATAGAACAAAATCAGCCAGAGCGTAATATATGAGAAGAGTAGGTTACAAGACAAGAGGTGGACCAAGAAATAATGGATAGAGGAAGTAAAAGAGACATTGCTGAAATTCAGTATAACATTAACACAAGGTACGCAACTTGGGAAACAACACCTGTGACTCTATAGGGCAGGGATGTTTAAAAAAAATTTACTTAGAGGCCAACTTTTTGAAAATGGTGATTGCCAGAGGCTTGAGCCCGGACATAGAAAGATCATTAATGCAATGCAGATATCTGTAGGCTACTTTATAGGTCTCAGTGGGCCAAATGTGGCCCGCAGGACACCAGTTGAGTAACCCTCCTTTACGACAAAAGCAGTAGGACAAAAGAAGTAGTAGTAACAGTTTGTTTATTTGTAATACAGAAGACAATAAAATGTTTGAGGGTTGGCACCTGATGTAGTGAATGTTGTGTATCACAGATGGTTAAGTCTTTTCTGTCACCCGTTAAACAGGATCAGATCATCTGTACATCAGGTGCTTAGGTGCTCAAGTTGCACATCAGTTTCTTAGATGGTCAAGTCATGTGTACATCAAGCTGTTAGATGTTCAGACTGTACATTAATTTATTGGATGGTGAGATCATGTGTACAACAACTTATTAGATGTTAAAGTTGAACATTAATTTATTAGATGGTCAAGTCATGTTTACATCAAGCTGTTAGGTGGTCATTTTGTGTGTACATCCATTTGTAAGGTGGTCATTTTGTGTGTACATCCATTTGTAAGGTGGTCATTTTGTGTGTACTTCCATCTGTTAGGTGGTCATTTTGTGTTTACATCCATGTTAGGTGGTCATTTTGTGTGTACATCCATCTGTTAGGTGGTCATTTTATTTGTACATTCATCTGTTAGGTGGTCATTTTGTGTGTACATCCATCTGTTAGGTGGTCATTTTATTTGTACATTCATCTGTTAGGTGGTCATTTTGTGTGTACATCCATCTGTTAGGTGGTCATTTTATTTGTACATTCATCTGTTAGGTGGTCATTTTGTGTGTACACCCGTCTGTTAGGTGGTCATTTTGTGTGTACATCCATCTGTTAGGTGGTCATTTTATTTGTACATTCATCTGTTAGGTGGTCATTTTGTGTGTACATCCATGTTAGGTGGTCATTTTATTTGTACTTCCATCTGTTAGGTGGTCATTTTGTGTGTACATCCATCTGTTAGGTGGTCATTTTGTGTGTACATCCATTTGTAAGGTGGTCATTTTGTGTGTACTTCCATCTGTTAGGTGGTCATTTTGTGTTTACATCCATGTAAGGTGGTCATTTTGTGTGTACATCCATCTGTTAGGTGGTCATTTTATTTGTACATTCATCTGTTAGGTGGTCATTTTGTGTGTACATCCATCTGTTAGGTGGTCATTTTGTGTGTACACCCGTCTGTTAGGTGGTCATTTTGTATGTACATCCATCTGTTAGGTGGTCATTTTGTGTGTACATCCATGTTAGGTGGTCATTTTGTGTGTACATCCATGTTAGGTGGTAATTTTATTTGAAAGAAATAATATTTGGCCACATTTCTAACCTTGGTATTGTTCTGATGTTGACTTGTCTCCAGGCGCTGTGGGGCTCATTTGTCCTGTCTGCCAGTGAACACAACGTGGACTCGCGATCTGAAATGGGAGCTACAGGTCAGTGGTGATGCTAGGTTGAAGCTGTACACTTGTCTCGCACAGCTGGTTGTTGCTAGGGGGAAGCTGTACGCTTGTTTCGCTCAACTGGTTGTGCTATGGTGAAGCTGCACGCTTGTCTCACTCAGCTGATTGTTTGCTAGGGTGAAGCTATATGTATATGCTTGTCTCACTCAACTGGTTGTTGCTAGGGTGAAGCTATATGCTTGTCTCACTCAACTGGTTTGTTGCTAGGGTAAAGCTATATGTCTACACTAGTCTGGGTCACTGGTTGTGCTACGGTGAAGCTGCACGCTTGTCTCACTCAGCTGATTGTTGCTAGGGTGAAACTGTATGCTTGTCTTATTCAACTGGTTGTTGCTAGGATGAAGCTCTGTGTGTGTACTTTTGTCCGGGTCAGTGGTTGTGCTAGGGTGAAGGTGTACACTTGTCTCGCTCAGCTTATTGCTAGGGTGAAGGTCTATGTGTACGCCTGTCTGGGTCAAGTGGTTGTGCTAATGTGAAACTACATTTGCCTGAGTGAGGTTGGTGGGTTAGGGTGAAATTGTACATTTGTCTATGTGGACAGTGGCTACATTGGTTGTGGTGCAATGAAACTGTTTGTACGCTTGTCTCGGGTTATGCTAGTAGAATATTGTGTGTGTATGTGCTTGCTTTGGTAAATGGGGACTACAGACTGGGCTAGGGTAAAACTACACCTGTCTGTGTAAATGGAATTAAAAACAACCTGACATAGAGACTTGAACAAAATCTGTTAGAAATGTATAGTCTGTGTTTATGTTTACTCAACGGATAAACATCAAGGCACACGGGTATAACTCACAAGTGCTCCATTCTACTTCTAACTCAAACCTGAGTCTGAAGAATCTCAGCACAGTGCACAAACTCTGTTGCACCGGCGAGGTTCCTGAAATACCTTGGGTAGATTTTAAACCCATAATTTTGTCCAGGCAGCACCGTTAAGATACTCTTTTTTGATTTCCAACTGCCAAGGTGTTTTTTATGTGCGCAAAAAAGACACATGGGCACCTGGTCTTACTACCCAGAGACCAGGGAAAATTACTAGAAGTCCACGTGAAAAAGCCCAGCCTTCACCCGGGTTTGAACCCAGCACCTCCAGCACTTGAGGCGGATGCCATAGCTCGAGACCACTCAGCCCCCTAAGGGTGTGATTTAAAAGAGGCTAAGAGTAGAAAAGGAAAGACTTTACAGGAGAAATCGTTACCCAAGAGTAGAAAAGGAAAGGCAAGAAGATCATTAGGTACTTCTAAACTCAGGACTAGCTGAGGAAAGGCATGGATAAACACACAAGGAAGTTAGTTAGTTGATGTTCCAACGTCACTTCAGATGGTCACCCCATAACGGCTCTGTTCCTGTGCCAGTGGAAATAACATAAAATGTAGTTCACTATGCCATTTGAAAACTAGTGAAAAACGTGCTAGTCCCAGCAAAATCTTGAAGCTTGGACAAGCAAAGTAAAAAGGCAGTTGTCAGATGTGCTATCACTAATAGACCAACACCAGAATTGCAGCTTATTGTTGGCACATACAGTCAATCATGAAAGCCGGCATTGCATCCACATCATGGTTCTGAGCATAATCGGCCACTGGCCATTTTAGTACAGTCAACAACACACCGTGGGCACAAGAGAAAAACATACATTCCACATCAAATCAATAGCTCACAGTGTTACACACGCACTCAACTCATTATCCTGGCAACAGAACGTTTACACAAGCAAGTATATGATTGTTTACTTCTCTGCTTTATTCTAATGCATTTAGTGGTTATTTCTTTGGCGTAATCTAATATGTGGTGTTTTGTTTTCTCACATAATCTATAAAGAAAGGACCCTTTTCACATCATTGGTTATTCGGGCATGTGATGCTTGATTAATATTTAGATACCAATCAGCACTAGATAGGTGATAGTTGGACTCATTTTTATAGACCAATCGGCTCTAAATGGGTGATGCTCGACTTATATTTATAGACCAGTTGGCACCAGATAGGTGATTGTTCGACTCATATTTATAGACCATTTGACACCAGAGAGTTGATGTAGTCAACATAAAGCCAGCTTTCTTTACTTCCTAGGACTTTTCTGGGTACCCATTTTAGGCTGGGTCGCCCTGGGAGTGAAGGTCATTAGCAAATCTTAACTGCAGCTTTGAAATCCAAAACATTCGCTCTGGTAGAACAGTGCCTAGCTAGTCTCTGTTGTAATCTGGTGTGTAAGAAACTACACAGAGGAGCCAGCATACAAGGAGTCTTCCGATGATCAGAAGAAGCTTCTGTGAATATTTCAGCCCTTTCATCTTTCTCACACTGTGGGGGGGGGGGGGGGGGGGGACCTGGCTTGTGACTTCTGGATTTTATTCTTCGCTGTGCGGCTCTGTCATGGCAGTAAAAAATAACACATGGGTTTATTGTTGATAACACACTGCCTGTCTTGATCGTCGCTGAGATTGCTCCCTCTTAGCTGCCATCCAGCTCTTGTAAAGGTAAAAAGTCTGGGAGATGTGAACCAACGTCATTGAACACAGTTTTAAACCATAAGTGCTTTGCCACCAGTACGGACAGCTGATAAGAAACTGTCCGCCTGTGTCATCGTCCGCATGCAACTCCACAGCTACAGCAACGTTCCGCCATTTATCCCAGAGTGTTAACTCTGGTACCCATTACCTAGAGGCTGGGTGAACCCTGGGAACCGCCCGGTTTCAAACACCGGCTTTGTGCTGCAGCGTGTCGCAGCTGAATTTGGAAGCGAGTCTCCTATTAACTGCACTAACGCGGCACCCACCCCCGCACCTTGGAAAAGTGATAGGCACAGCCCCCTGGTGTAATGGGATATCTGTATGATCTTTACTTCTCTCATGTTATTTAGCGTGTGTTCTTGCCTGCCAGGTAAAAAAGAACAAGGCATTTGTGTGTTGGAGTCCAGTACGCTAACCTTCTTCAGGGAGCACGGAGGCGAGTACTCCACCCCGCTGCCATTTCAGGTAACCATCTACAACTTGGCTCATTCAGGTGTTTAAACCGTAAATTACTGTTTAGTTTCACAGACTTCGATTCTCTAGGCTTTAGAATAAGCAGTGTTGGAGACTGTTCAGCAGAAGTCAAAAGGATGATAGGTTTATAAACAGGTTTAGACGATGGATCGACATCATGGCACAAGGGTACTAACCCATAAGTTCTCTGTTCTGCTTCTGACTCAAGCCTGAGTCTGAAGAATCTCCGTAGCACCGGCGAGGATCCTGAAATACTTTAGGTAGATTTTTAACTCTCAAACTTTGCCCGGGTAGCGCCCTTAGTCTACTCTTTCTCAGTTTCCAACTGCCTAAAGATTTTTTTATATGCACAGCAATACACACGGGCGTCCGATCTTACTCTTCAGAGACCAGGGGAAGTTACTAGAAGTCCACGTGAAAAAAATCTCAGCCTTAACCGGGGCTATGGTTGACCATAACAATAAAAAGATTAAACATCATTAACAGTATGTGGTTGCACACCAGCAAGGAAATAAAAGTCCTTCGTTTGTTTTGTTTTAATGTTTCCATACTTTCCACACTGGGTTGTAGGGTGGTATAAATTGAAATATCTACCAGTAACTAAATTGTATTAAAGAAAAAAAAAATGTCAACAGACAAAAACTGACTATCACCCAAAAGTAGTAATAAATGATGAAGACATTGAAAATGTCTCAAAACGTTTAATATCTAAGCTTTGTAAATAGCAATAGAGACTGTTCGACAGAAATAATCAATAGAGACTGTTCGACAGAAATAAGCAATAGAGACTGTTCAACAGAAATAAGCAATAGAGACTGTTCGACAGAAATAAGCAATAGAGACTGTTCGACAGATTAAGCAATAGAGACTGTTAAACATAAATCAAAAGGGTAATGACCATAGCAATACAAAGATTAATTAGCATTAAAAGTCTGTGGTTAAGCAAGGAAATCAGAGCCCAGATTTTGAGAGCATGCATCTTTCCTGTAGCAACATATGGATGTGAGTTGTGGTCTGTCTCAGTCATGAAGGAAGGAAAATAGAGGCCATTGAGCAAAAATGCTATAGAATGATTCTCAGAATACCAATTATCGAGAAGAATGAACTGGCTCGCTAGGATGATTGAAACTCCACAACTGCTGTTATCTGTTACCGTGAATCAAATCACAGGCTGACCTCTTAATCTGTTACTATGAATCAAATCACAGGCTGACCTCTTTATCTGTTACTATGAATCAAATCACAGGCTGACCTCTTAATCTGTTACTATGAATCAAATCACAGGCTGACCTCTTAATCTGTTACTATGAATCAAATCACAGGCTGACCTCTTAATCTGTTACCATGAATCAAATCACAGGCTGACCTCTTAATCTGTTACTATGAATCAAATCACAGGCTGACCTCTTAATCTGTTACCATGAATCAAATCACAGGCTGACCTCTTAATCTGTTACCATGAATCAAATCACAGGCTGACCTCTTAATCTGTTACCATGAATCAAATCACAGGCTGACCTCTTAATCTGTTACCATGAATCAAATCACAGGCTGACCTCTTAATCTGTTACCATGAATCAAATCACAGGCTGACCTCTTAATCTGTTACTATGAATCAAATCACAGGCTGACCTCTTAATCTGTTACTATGAATCAAATCACAGGCTGACCTCTTACTATTGAATGGTTCAAGACCAATCTTTGCCATCTCTTTCTACCTTTCTCCATATCTGTTTTAGTATATATTAGCATTCATCATCTTCAAATGTTTTCTGCTGTGCCAAAATAATTAATAAAGAGACAATGTGTTGGCCAGAACTCTGTTTATTTATGTATTCATTTATCTTGTGGCCAGAGAATTGGGTTCTTTATTAATATCCTACCCCAGATGACATCACATGATAGTCCCAACATTTTAGACGGTGGTAACACTGGGTTCTCTGCTTTCTAATGCTTTTCACGACCCCATAACAAATAGAACTGACCCTAACCACAACTCACCTACATCCCACGAAAGAGTGCAGCCTAGGTCCCTCAGATGCATGCGCCTATGTCCCATGACTGCATGCAGATTATCTACCATTTCCTGAAATATTAGACTGTCCCGTGACCTGTGGATTTCCCCTGTTTGGGGTAGGATATTAATAAAGAGCTGAGAATTGTGACCATTTCCAGGTAGTCGCAGTCCCTGCTTCATAACAAACGAGTGACCCCATTGTTGCATACACATGCATTAAGTGTCTAAGGCAGCCGTCAGAAGTGCCAGTGTAAAAAGTCTGTTACTAGAAATGCATTTTTTTTTATCAGTGGAAGCAGCAATTATTACAACAGATCAATAGTTGCACATGCAATTAATCACATCAGGCACCACCAGTTCTATGGCAACTTGCCACTGACCACTTTCTAAATCTACGGTTCACAGCACAAACCACATTGGGGCAGTTAAGAAGCATTTCAAATGAAATCTGCAGCTCACAGTGTCACACCATGCACTGAAAGTATCTTGGAACTGTATCCTTTCAATTTACACATAGAGGAAAATGCAATGGCATGACTAAAAATAGTCAGCCGCTTGTCTGCCATATTGATTTCCAGATGTTGGGATAGCTCACTATGGCTGATGGTGCTGGTATGATCATCCTACTGAAAATCTGTGTTTCCGTGTTCTGCTATCGTATACATAGGTGGGAAAGCAAGTGCTTTTATATACCTGTTGTCACCACTGTTAAGACATCCAAACATAACTGTGAGTGCACACAAACAACATCATTCAAACAGCACATTTGTTCCAACATTGAACTACCAATGCCAAAAATGGATATTATCTGTAGCACATATATGCAAAATTACCACTTGCGAGATGAGATGCCTGAGAAAAGCCACCAACCTGACCATCCGAGATGAAGTTTAATAATGAAAAGATCGTGGGAACTCCTTGTATTAAAGTCATCAAGAAGTGGTACATGTCTCGATAAGAGACCTAACAAAGAGAGTCACCTACCTTCCCAATGATGCCTCGATCTGGTGTAGCACCTGTACTGTGTCGGAGTGGTTTTAGGCGTAGTGAGTCATATTTGACTCCTTGTTAGGAGCTGATGCTCGAGTTTTCTATGCTGTGACCGCTTTTAACGGTCTCAAAATATGTACAACTGGGCCTAAACCCAATCTGCCTACACCCCAGCCTCAGCCTATGTCTCATGACTATATGCAGCCTCTATTATTCGCTGCATACAGTCGCGGGACCTAGGAAGCACCCCTGCGACATAGTAGAAGCCCTACACCAGATCGAGGCATCAGTAGAAAGGGAGGTCACTCTTGTTGTTGGGTGAAGTTTTAATGCCTTGTTAGATGCAGCAACATCAAGTACCATCGCAGGCACTACTTCTCAGAGGATCAGGTACAAGAACAAGAGAACGGCGACGAAAATATGTATAGACAACATTAAAGACACTTCACTTTCACAGGATGACAATAGCATAGCCAGCATACAGGCACTGGATCGCAGCATTCTTACGACACTATGGCAGAAGTGATTTATGATGATGATGACGACTATCATATAAAAGATTAATGCATTTCCTTGTACAGTGGTGTGTTTCCCTTTTCTTCTTCAGGTCTCCCGGACTTGGGTGATCAAGAATGGGCTCCTGTTTGAGAGGGCCCTGTCTCATGCTGAAATAAACTCTCAGAAGAGGTATGAGGTGGTGTTGATGTTCCATTGACTAAAAGCTGTTTGCATAAATTGATAAAATAATTACTTTCTACCACATTCAAATTAGTTCCGCCCCAGTATGGGGCACATTTTTTGTTGTTGTTGTTTTTTTAAGGCCCCACCACGGCTGTTGTTGGGGGCCCTAATATAATCTACCAGTTGAACAGGATTTCCGGGACTTGGGCTGAGTGATCCTGTTCTGAATGGTGGCACTTTGTGTCACCGGGTATTGGTCGCGCGTTGTGTGGTCTTGATGGGATTGAACGTCACTCACACTGACTTTCATTATTGTCAGCTCACGAATGACGTCACCTTTTCCGAAATCCCCCCCAAAAATATATTGAACTCTTTAAGTCCCAAGGAACGCATCATACGCTCCTAGGTTACTGCCTAGAAGCTAAATGAACGCATGATGCGCCGATTTTACGTCTACGTCTCTCTTGACTACCCCTTGGGCCTGTGATGCTAAACCCTCTGGGACTCAAAGAGTTAAAAAGAAGCCACTAATGTTACTAATAAATTGAAGAAAACAGATTTTTTCCCCCATTCAGTTTTAGAAAAAGAAATGTAAAAAGTAAAGTATATTTTTTTCCATATCATTAGGTGTATTGGGTATATAGTACTAGACCTATACTTTGTAGACCAGTCAGCATTGGATGGATGATTTGGTCAACATCATGCCGGTCATCTTCACCCAGGACCAGTTCAAGGCTGGGTCAACCTGGGAGCCAAGGTCATTAAAAAAAATCCAGCTTTTTTTGTATTTGCACAAACTTCAGATCTGCAGGTGAGCATCTAGCCACCGCACCACGGCAGCTGGCATGGGGTACTTCTTGAGAATGACCAGTTATAGAAGTGACCAAATGTAGAGCTTGCCTTTTGTAGATTAGCGCCTCACCATGTAATATTAGGAAATATGGCAACGACTGCATATGTCCACTGCGACCAGCCATAGTTGAGACAGCACCATATTCTCCTCCTTCGTCATGTTTACCGGTTGTAAACTCCGGCAAAATGTCCTGGTTGTTCACCCACCTCTGGAATTTGGACTCATTTCACAACCTGAGTGTTGTGTGCACATCTGGTTTACAGGTCGGGGGCAAAAATAAGCTCCTAGGCTGCACAGTCCATGATGACAGCACTAACCATGCGGCCCTGAATCCTTAGATTCTAAGACCACCTCACCACTACCTACACTACAAGATTGGTTGTTGTTGTTTTTGATCCAGCGGCCCATGAGCTTTCGCCCTCTGGCCCAATGCCATGCAGTGGAATTTGCATGTTTTCACAAGCTGTTCTTTTCCTCCGTACAAGGTGTTCCACCTGTCTGGTCTAGGAGGGAGTAGCATTCTTATAGTGTTACTGAGTTTTAGGCACTCAAAAGTTTCGTAGGGGTAATTACATAGCTGGCACTCTGGGGAGTGTTGTGGCTGTATTTTGTTTAGATGTCCACTGAGTGGAGTATGTTGTGTTCTGAGTCATAAGATGGTGGCCTGGTCCCTTCTTGTTATGTTGTTAATGCTGTTGTTAGGATCAGGGCTAGTCATGTGTCTATAAACCTCTCTTTCAGTGTCTCCCATAGCCTGTCTGTTCAACCAAGTCTCTTCGTTTATAGCTTTTATTAGTGTTTTTTCTGTCTGTAGGGTTTTCGCTGTAGGTGGTAGTTCTTGTTTTGCTCCTTTCTTTGCCAGTCTGTCAGCTCTGTCATTACCTGGTGTGCAAGATTGGTAACTACTGGCAGTATCAGCAATTTGTTTTGGAAATATGTCTGTGTGCTTGCATGACATGTTGCCAAATTGTTGCAGGAATTGTCCTAGTCAGGCGGTGATCTTCAGCTTGCTGCACCCACTGGATGACGTGGCTCCAGTCATTACCAGGTCCTCAGGTAATATGATGTCTGTGCTCCTATCCTTACATGATGTCTGTGCTCCTGTCCTTAAATGATGTCTGTGCTCTGGTCCTTTCATGATGTCTGCGCTCCTGTCCTTACATGATCTCTGTGCCCCTGTCCTTACATGATGTCTGCACTCCTGTCCTTACATGATCTCTGCCCCTGTCCTTACATGATGTCTGCGCTCCTGTCCTTACATAATGTCTCCGCTCTTGTCCTTACATGATGTCTGCGCTCCTGTCCTTACATGATGTATGTGCTCCTGTCCTTACATGTCGTCTGTGCTCCTGTCCTTACATGATGTCTGCACTTCTGTCCTTACATGATGTCTTCGCTCCTGTCCTTACATGATGTCTGTGTTCCTGTCCTTACATGATGTCTATGTTCCTGTCCTTAGATGATGTCTATGTTCCTGTCCTTAGATGATGTCTGTGCTCCTGTCCTTAGATGATGTCTGTGCTCCTGTCCTTACATGATGTCTGTGCTTCTGTCCTTACATGATGTCTATGCTCCTGTCCTTACATGATGTCTGTGCTCCAGTCTTTACATGATGTCTGTGCTCCTGTCCTTACATGATGTCTGTTTTCTTGTCCTTACATGATGTCTGTGCTCCTGTCCTTACATGATGTCTGTGCTCCTGTCTTTACATGATGTCTGTGCTTCTGTCCTTACATGATGTCTGTTTTCTTGTCCTTACATGATGTCTGTTTTCTTGTCCTTACATGATGTCTGTTTTCTTGTCCTTACATTATGTCTGAGCTCCTGCCCTTATTGACCTCTGTTGTGTGGATTGAACCTAAATATTGACCTTTGTTGTGTGGACTGAACCTACATATTGACCTCTGTTGTGTGGACCAAACCTAAATATTGACCTCCATTGTGTAAACTACTCAAATATTGACCTCCATTGTGTAAACTACTCAAATATTGACTCTCATTGTGGGGACTAAACCGAAATATTGACTTCCCATGGATGTGATTAGTAGTGTTCTCTATATTGTAGATGAGACTTGATATGATACAACTCAGTTGATATCCATCAATCAGTTTCAGGTGGCCCACCAAAGATATCTTACCTGACAGACTGCAACATGGTGTTCATCTTTACGAGCTCCGAACCTTCGCTGGCTTTCACATACGACTCGGCCCTGGGTCACCACTCTGTGTGGAGTATCAGAAAGGCCAGACAGGAGGTAATTTATGTCTCTTCTTTCTCACTCGTTCTGTTGTTCTTCTTAAAGTCTGTGCCATGTGGCGTTAGTAGTCATGTCTGTCCACAACCTTCTGTCTCATGTACTTTTAATCAGCTCTGACACAGATGATCTTCCATGCTATAATGTCAAACTTTCCAGCATGTGTTCTCTCAGTCTCCCTCTGCCACTCCTCTCCTCCAACTTTCCTACTGTCACGATGTACACCAGTTTTCTCCTTTCCATCACATGACCAAAGAATCTAGATTGTCTCTTTCTGGTATAGTCTATCAGTTCTCTTTGTGGGCCAGTTTCTTTCAAGACATCTTCATTACTTCTTTTATCAGTCCTGGGTATTCTCATAATTCATCTATAAAACCACATCTCCACATTTTCTAAATAAGTCTTCACTAATTTACTAACTGTCCATGATTCACACCTGTATATAAATATAGGATTTATATAGCTTTTAAGAATTCTCCTGTCATCCTTCTGTTAGACAACTTAAATCAGGATTCCAGTAGCCTTGATGAAAGCTGTCATGCAGTCTTCCTGTGTACCATACAGCTTTGTCTTGTTGGAGCTGGATCCTGCGGCTTCGTTTTGGAGAATAAAGAATAGCCCCACTGCCCCCCAGCAAGCTTGTTGTGAAATTTACCTAATTAGGAATGTCTGCTTCAAAGTCGTTGTGCATCTGCCTGAGAGGCGAGGAACCAGTATTCTGCAAACCAAATAAGCCAGATCTGTAAAATAGATGTGCACGCAAAACTCAAGTTCTGGAACAAGACGAAAGTCTAGAAGCGGGCGAACAACTGAATGTTTCATTCTGTATTATGTAAAAGTAACGTTTTGGTCCGCAAAAAGAGAGTGACTTCCCTTCCTATTCATGCCTCGTCGAGTTGCAGGGCCTCTTCTATGTTGTAGGGGTGTCATGTTTTCCTTATTGTCAACACTTTAACTGTTTTATCTTTTCTCATGTTGTCAGAGCTCGCTTGCGTGATTGTTGTCACGTTCTGCCACTTGCACAACGGTTCGGGAATATGAAAACTGGGATGTTTTTCTGTTCCTACATTCCTTGTCAGTGGCTTTTTTTTGTAGCCCCCAGTAAACGCAGAAATAATTTTTTTTTTAAATGTTCTAGTTTTGATACTCATGAATTGTTGAGCTCTCGGTGCTTCCCTCTGCAGTACTTCTTACTTGAACACAAATAGACTCATGACAACACAACCTCCCACAAAAATTATATAGGGCCAGCAAACGCTAAACGAAGCCATATCATAACACAAGTCATGAATGGGAAGGGAAGTCACTCTATCTTTTGCAGACTAAAACAATAGTTGTACCCAGAATTGTTATGAGTGAATAAAACTTCTTCTCCTTCACGTTCACCCTCTGTGAACTGCGGTGAAATTGTTATAGCAATGATATGGATATCAGCTTACCTCAAATTATTATTATTTCTACTTTTATTATTTTTGTTCATTTGTTTGTCTCTTATTTTGCAACAGCTTTGCCTGCACCTACATTTTATGTATAGTTCATACCACTTCTTCCTGGCTCATAAAGGGGCCGTCCATGTTGGGAGAGAGGCTGAACATACAGAAGTGAGGTTATGCAGTCATGAGCAGGGTGTGAGCCCAATACCCGAATGCCCTGTACTAGTTCTGCAAAGATGAAAGCCTCTTTGGATGGTGGACGGCATGGAATGCTCATGTTTTGTCCCTGCCTTTATTTGAGGGCTGACTAGCATGGCTGCTGTGGACCGGCCTCCAGGAGGAAAGGAGGGCACCAGCTGTGAATTAGGAAGCACAGATGACTATACAACAAGGAATCTGTGCAGTGTTCTACGAAACTAACCTGGAAAGCTAACCCAAGCGAACAAATACCTGAATTTGAGTATATCAGTTAAAAGGTGCAAAAATCACTGCCTTTCCACAAATACGTCCCTGCATGAATGCAGAAAAACACATAGAAGTAACGAGTTCTTTCTCCACGTGACTATCTTTTTTTCCACGCCTTGAACAGACAGATTGGCTGGATCTGCACCACTGGGTGGTGAACTGTTACATGACAAGGCAGATGTGGTCAAGGTCCTTTGGGAACAAGCAACGGAATCAGTAGAGAAACAAGATTATTATGGCCTGGAGAGAATGAAGCACCTGGGTGTAACCAACGGGTCTGGCTGGCTCTTTACACTGAGAGGAAAGGCAAGACGGACATATAACCAGATTGTGACCTGTACCATTAGTATTGGAACTCTGTGCTGGCTGTTGAGGATGAGGACGGAGCACGCATGAGAATGCCTTGAGTGCTGTGATGTCAATTCTTGACTCATCTAAATTCTCCATGTGACTCAACTGTCTGGGGGCTGTCTTACGTTTCTGCTTCTTATCAGTCGAAACATTATTTGCATCTGCACATTTTTTTTCCTCACTGAGCAACCTAGTCATAGTTTGAGTCCTTAAGGAAAACAATAGAGCTTTTTGAACTGACATGCTATAGAAAGATTCACAGCATACCATAGACCAAGAAAATAAGAAATACTGACATCCTGAAAGATCTGAACATCAAGGAAGATCAGCTAATAAACAGCATCCTGTCTCGGAAGCTGAAATATTTTGGCCGTATTAAGTACCACAGCAGATTAGAAAAAATTACAGCAGAATGCATGGTACCAGGAAAGAATTGTATTTCCTAACAGCACAAGGATGGGCACAGGATAAGTGACTCCTTGGGTATGAAAGTGCATGAGTTGGGAGAGCTGGCGAGAGGCGGAGCTTCTTTCCTGCGGACCGTGATGAAAGCAACCTTCTGAAAGGACGTGTGATGATGATTCATATTTTGTATTTAATTAATTCTTTTCTTGTTACTATTATTGCTTTCAGAGTCTGATGTTGTTTCTTGATCTCAAAAGGTCAGCTAACTGTATGGAGTTACTGTTGTTGCCTTCAAAGTTTTCTGGCTGAATATTTGTTACCTTCTCCACAGGAGATCAATCAGCTGGCAGGCTCCTTGGACACTACTTCATTTCTTCATGCAACTTCACATGCATTTGGTGCTGGGGGAGGTCTGAGCTTCTCCAGCAGCTCATCTCGACACTTGGCCAATGTGTCTGGCCCAGGGGCAGGCAACACACCCAGCTACTCGCCGTTGAGAAGTATCTCAGGACGGGTGATGTCCCCTGCTGGGATTTTGCGCTCGAGTCCAGGCATGTCTGCCTTCACGTCCAGGTGAGTAGAGTGAGTGTGGTTGATTGTGTCTGCTTTCTCATGTCTGCTTTCTCATCTGTTGTCTACTTTCTCATCAGTTGTCTGCTTTCTCATCAGTTGTCTGCTTTCTCATCTGTTGTCAACTTTCTCATCTGTTGTCTACCTTCTCATCTGTTGTCAACTTTCTCATCTGTTGTCTACCTTCTCACGTGTTGTCAACTTTCTCATCTGTTGTCAACTTTCTCATCTGTTGTCTACCTTCTCATCTGTTGTCAACTTTCTCATCTGTTGTCAAATTTCTCATCTGTTGTCTACTTTCTCATGTATTGTCTGCATGTTGTTTCTCGCATTCTTGACAAACGAGAGCCTGCTGCCAGATCCCCTGGCCTCCCTGCAGCCTAGTGTTTGCCTGGAACACCTGTGGCAGGAGACAGCTCATCCAGTCAGGTATGTCAGGTGTTGTTGTCCCCAGTGTTATGCAGGCAACCTACAGCTAATTCTAATGTAACACCTCCAGCAAGAGACAGGTGTGTCAGTTGTTATCCTTACTGAAATACAGGTAACCTGCAGCTAGGTTTGATAGACGGCAACATTAGAGTTTTCAAGTTGTTTGCACAAGAAAGGAATGTCATGTTAAAACTCTGAGATTGTTTGCACAGGTACAAAATGTCATATTAGAACTCTGAGATATGTTATCACAGTTGACGTCATTGCACATTGGGCATTCCCATGCTTGCTCAGTCTTCCAGTGCAGCAGCCACTCCAAGGTACTTCTACTGATTTGTCCATGAGCTGTTGGTTTTAATGTCTCCTATCTTGGCCTAGAAGGCGGCATAGACGTTCTTCGCCATGCTTTACCCCCGTGTCACGCAGTCATGTTAGTGTCAAGAGATTCATCATTATCCAGTCCTTACAGCGTTGACAATATCTTCTCTGTCCATGCTTCTCCCCACATGCGTTAGTGCATTGCTTGGCAGTCAGTAATGTCACATTAGAACTGTGAGATTGTTTGCTATGGAATGTCATATTAGAACTGTGAGATTGTTAGCACAGGTATGGAATGTCATATTATAACTGTGAGATTGTTAGCACAGGTATGGAATGTCATATTAGAACTGTGAGATTGTTAGCACAGGTATGGAATGTCATATTAGAACTGTGAGATTGTTTGCATAGGTATGGAATGTCATATTAGAACTGTGAGATTGTTTGCATAGGTATGGAATGTCATATTAGAACTGTTAGATTGTTTGCACAGGTATGGAATCTCATATTAGAACTGTGAGATTGTTTGCACAGGTATGGAATGTCATATTAGAACTGTTAGATTGTTTGCACAGGTATGGAATCTCATATTAGAACTGTGAGATTGTTTGCACTGGTATTGAATGTCATATTAGAACTGTGAGATTGTTTGCACTGGTATTGAATGTCATATTATAACTGTGAGATTGTTTGCAGAGGTATGGAAAGTCATATTAGAACTGTGAGATTGTTTTCACTGGTATAGAATGTCATATTAGAACTGTGAGATTGTTTGCACAGGTATGGAAAGTCATATTAGAACTGTGAGATTGTTTGCAAAGGTATGAAACATATTAAAACTCTGAGATTGTTTGCAGTGGTATGGAATGTCATATAGAACTCTGTGATTATGTGCAAAGGTATGAAACATTTTAAAACTGAGATTGTTTGCACAGGTATGGAATATCGCATTAAAACAGTAATTTTTTTAAAAACTGTTTCTACATGACACATTAGGGTTCTGAGGTTGTTTGTACATGTCACATTATATTTGTGAAACAATGCATGAACAACTAACTTTTCATGTTAAAGACATTTGAGATGGCAACTGCTGTAGTTGTAACAACTGAAGTAGAAGTAAAAAAAAAAAAAAATGATCCCTTTCCACGCCTTAAGGCATATAGGGCTAGACCTATATTTTATAGACCAATCGGCACAAGATGGGTGATGGGTGATGTGGTCAGCATCAAGCCGGAAACTAGGAGTATCTGATGTTAAATGTTTTTGTCATATAAACTTTCTATCCAGGGATGGGGCCCTAGGCAAGGCATCCAAGGCTTTCCTCAGCAGGGACCTGTGTGGGCAGCAGTACCTCTGCTACATGGTTCCGTACAAGCAACATCTCAGGTAAGTTATTGGTAAACGTCTTAGGTAACTTGGGCACATACATTGCAGGTAAATTGTACCTTAAAATGTTTGTCACACTGTACCTAAACATCTCCGTTTGTGTACATAAACAGCTCAGTTCAATTTTACATAATCATCTCACGTACAGTTTGTACATAAACATCTTAGGTAAGTTGTACATAAATATCTCAGGCAAATTATACATAAACATCTCAGGTATATGTTGTCAATAAACATCTCAGGTACATTGCACATAGATATCACAAGTAAATTGTACGTAGACATCACATATAAATTGTACATAAACAACAAGATAAATTACATACACAGACATCTCATGTACATTGTATATAAACTGTTAAATTCTATAAAACATCTCAGGTAATCTGTATATTTTTCTTTTGTCTTGATATGTTGTCCATGCCTCAGACCAATACAGTGGAGAACCAAGACTTCTCTCGCCTTGTGTATGTTGTCTTTCTAAAATTCCATGTCTGATTGGTTTATTTTCCAGTTTCAGGCAGAACATCAGTTTTTAACCATTCATCATCATCATCCTGTAAACACTGCATGTCATTAGGTCACCAGTTTCTGCTGACTGTCTGATCTTTGGCGGTCATTTGCCATGGAATTTATGGTTTCATGCCAGTCGTTTAGGTTCTGTAACCGGGTCTTATTTAACCACTGCGTATGATAAAAATCCTTTAACAGTTGTAAATTAAGATCCCTCCGTGTTCTGGAAAAGATCATTGAAGTAGACTAACAGCCGTAACTTTCCTCCTTAGTATAAAGCCGGTGAATGCTAAGAAGGAGAAAAAAAATTGAGATAAAGAGGCCAAAGTTGCTACTGTTTGCTAGATTGCTTATCCTCAAGTGAATTGACATCACAGCCCTCGGAGCATTCCCATGCATGCTCCATCGTCATCCTCAGCAGCCAGCGCAGAGTTCCAGTACTGATAGTACCGGTCGCAATTTTGATTGTATGTCCGTCTTGCTTTCCTCTGAGTGTAGTGAGCCGGCCGGACCCTCTGGTTACACCCAGATGCCTCATTCTCTCCAGGCCATAATAATCTTCTATCTCTACTGATTCCATTGCTTGTTTCCTTGTCATGTATCAATTCACCACCCAGTAGTGCAGATCCAGCCAGTCTGTCTGCCTGTTCATTACCCATCACACCAGTATGGCCTGGAGAAAGTATCCAAAGTATGCTCACTACCCGTGACTTTTCCAGTGAAGCTTGCCAATTCGTAGCCTGTGTGGTTCCAGTTTGGATCTTCATTGATGCTGCAATTTGTGCACTGTTCTGAGTGTTTTGTATAATCTATGGGAGGAGACTGGGACACTCAAGGAGCTGTCTATCTGCAGTAGAAATGATCCTTTACAAACCAGACCCATAGTCGGTTGAAGAAGCTGGACCATGTCTACCACTGGTTGTAAAATATACCACTGATGTCAGATGTGGCTGTCAAATATACAACTGATGTCAGATGTGGCTGTCAAATATACAACTGATGTCAGATGTGGCTGTCAAATATACAACTGATGTCAGATTTGGCTGTCAAATATACAACTGATGTCAGATGTGGCTGTCAAATATACAACTGATGTCAGATGTGGCTGTCAAATATACCACTGATGTCAGATGTGGCTGTCAAATATACCACTGATGTCAGATGTGGCTGTGTCCAGTGCTTGATGCCAGATGTTTGTTTGATCAACAGGTGTCTCAAGTTTGAGGAGAGCAATGACCGCAGCCAGCTAATATTTGGTTCTGTGACCTACCTGCATGCCAAGGATGCCACACCAATTGAGGTAGTCTTGTCTTGTCTTGCTTTGTCTTAGCTTGCCCAGTCTTATCCTATAAATTGATAGGAAATTGTCCTAGTATTTGATGTTGTCCTATTACTTGATGTTATCCTGTTACTTGATATTGTCCTATAAATTGATATTGTCCTAGTACTTGATGTTATCCTGTTACTTGATACCATCCTAAAAATTGATATTGTCCTGTTACTTGCAGTCATCCTGTTACTTGATGTTGTCAGTTACTTTATGATGTCCTGTTACTTGATGTTGCCCTTTTACTTGATTTGTCCTGTTACTTGATTTTTCCTGTTATTTGATGTTGTCCTGTTATTTGATACTGGCCTGTTACTTGGCGTTGTCCTATTACTTGATGTTGTCCTTTCACTTGATGTCATCATATTACTTAACTTTTCCTGTTACTTGATGTTGTCCTGTTACTTGATGTTGTCCTGTTACTTGATGTTGTCTCTTTTTTGTATCATCCTATTAATTGATGTCCTGTTACTTGATATTGTCCTGTTACTTGATGTCCTGTTATTTAATGTTGTCTGTTACTTGATATTTCCTGTTACTAAATGTCCTGTTATTTGATGATGTCCTGTTACTTGATATTGTCCTATTGCTTGATTTGTCCTGTTGTAGAGCCAGGACATGCTGCTGGTGCTGGAGATGACAGGCGTGCTTGTTCTTTACAGCGGGGTCACCAGGGTAAATCTGTGTCTCTTGTCTGTGTTTGTTGACCTTATGTACAGCGGAGTCAGCAGGGTAAATGTGTGTCTTGTTTGTGTTTGTTGACCTTATGTACAGCGGAGTCAGCAGGGTAAATGTGTGTCTTGTTTGTGTTTGTTGACCTTATGTACAGCGGGGTCACCAAGGTAAATGTGTGTCTCTTGTTTGTGTTTGTTGACCTTATGTACAGCAGGGTCACCAGGGTAAATCTGTGTTTCTTGTCTGTGTTTGTTGACCTTGTGTACAGCGGGGTCACCAAGGTAAATGTGTGTCTTTTGTCTGTGTTTGTTGACCTTATGTACAGCGGGGTCACCAGGGTAAATCCATGTTTCTTGTCTGTGTGTGTTGACCCTGTGTACATTGGGGTCACCAGGGTTAAGTTTGTGACCCTTTTTGTCTGTGTTTGTTGACCCTATATGGAGTGAGGTCTCCCAAGGCTAGTTTTGTGTCTTTTTTTTTTTTAAATTTGTCTTTATATCAGTCATTTGCTGTTGACATCACTTAAGAAACATGTCACATAAGTCAGCCTCCATATGGACTTTCTGTGGTCTAATATAAGATATCACTTGTGTGTGATTCATCATCTCACATACATTTTATGGGTGCTTTCCCGATGTCTCCCCCCAGTATGACGCCACGGGAGAGCAATATTTTTTATGGTGGTAAGAGCCGGTTTCCGGCTTTCTGATGATTTTAACTACACCAAAACATCTAGAACTGGGCCTGACCCCAACCCACCTGTCCCCCACGAGAAAGTGCAGCCTAGGTTCCACGACTGCATGCAGCCTATCTACCACCCCCTGAAATATTCAACTGTCTGTCTGGGGGAAGATATTGGGACAGAACCATTTCATGTTATTCACACTATATAGATTTTCCTGGATAAAATGCATATAATTCGCCCTTCCTGACTATTTTTTAAGTGATAAAGTATTCTTGATAAATTGAAATTGATTCAGCACTCCTTTCATTCAGCATATAAATCGATGCGATTCTTCTTCTGCGCCCTTCAAAGGGTGGTTGGCACATTATGTTGTGGTTTACAGCTAGGCTTTGATATCTAAGTGGGGAGCCTGAACCCACATAGGGATATGTGATTCAACATTCCAAATTAAGTTTCTAATCATTGCAGATACATTTTGTGTGATTCACCATTGTCGATACACATGATTTACCATTGGAGGTCTCTTTCATGTGATTCACCATTGCTAATGCTCATGATTTACCGTTGGAGAGACCTTTTATGTGATTCACCATTGTGGATACACATGATTTACCATTGGAGAGACCTTTTATGTGATTCACCATTGTGGATACACATGATTTACCATTGGAGAGACCTTTTTTGTGATTTAATATTGTGGATACACATGATTTACCATTGTAGAGACCTCAGATGTGATTCACCATTATGGATACACTCCATTAATCATTGCAGAAACCTTATGAGTGATTTACTATTGTGGATGCACATGATTTATCATTGCAGAAACCTTATATTTGTTTCAACATTGCCTAAATGTTGTGCACAATTTACCATTGTGGATGCACATGATATACCATTGCAGAAACCTTATATTTGTTTCAACATTGCCTAAATGTTGTGCACAATTTACCATTGTGGATGCACATGTTTTACCATTGCAGAAACCTTATATTTGATTCAACATTGCCTAAATGTTGTGCACAATTCACCATTGTGGATGCACATGATTTACCATTGCAGAAACCTTATATTTGATTCAACATTGCCTAAATGTTGTGCACAATTCACCATTGTGGATGCACATGATTTACCATTGCAGAAACCTTATATTTGATTCAACATTGCCTTAATTTTGTGCGCAATTCACCATTGCAGATAAGCCAGGTACATATCCCAGTCATGCCCTTAGGGTCGGGATCAATCAATCTAGCTCGGTCAGCAATTACCCCATTTGGAAGTCCGGTAAAAGGGGACATCTTCACCAGCAGCCGGCCTCCCTCGGCCATGGATATTCGCTTTGATGATGAGGTTTGTACCTTCAGCTCAGCACACTGTCTTCTGTTTAAGGCAGAAGCTTTTGTTTGTGGAAAGATGTCCCTACACGGGACAGGTTTACTCCCCATATGGGTTCTGAGACCCCATTTTGGGGGAAGCAAGAATAGACCCATTGACCCGCTGACAAGCATGTCATAAAAGCTAAATAATTAGGGTGTTTTCTTCGAAGTCAAAGTGCATCTACCTGAGAAGCGAGGTAGATGCACTTTGACTTCGAAGAAAACACCCTAATTATTTAGCTTTTATGACATGCTTGTCAGCGGGTCAATGGGTCTATTCTTGCTTCCCCCAAAATGGGGGATTTGTAGAATGGATGTGCATGCAGAACTCAAGCTCTGGAAGAAGACCAAAGTCCTGAAGTGGATGAACAACCAGAATTTACCACTGGAGTTTATAGCAGGTGAACGTGAAGAAGAAAAAAATACATCACCTTATACAAGTCAGAAAAGTGACTAATTAGACCCAGCCAGAAGTTTGGGTTTTACTGCTTCTCGTGTGACAGGATTAAGGCAGACATTTTTGTTTCTGGAGAAATTTCCCTAGATTAGGCAAACAAGATTTTTAACAAAAAAGTCACAAGCAGTAGATTGCACGATTTATTGCCTGGCATATTTCGCTGTATCTTATCGGGTGCATACTGCCATTACAATTGATTAAAATGAAACACGAAATCGACTACATTGAAAAGTAACTGTTTTTGTTTTAGTATCCAAAAGCCATGAGTTGTTAACCCTTAGGCTCGGTATTATGGATATCGCAACCATTCGGCCTTGATTCCATTGTAAATACCGTCAATCTGGGAGAAAATGTGGCTTTCCTGCCTACCCCTGGGATTGAACCCGGACCACAAGGAGTACGTCACCCGGTCTCCGCGAAATCCGGTTTAGCCAACTACGCTAGAGAGCGGGGCAAAAGTAACTGTTTCACCGGGGTAAATGCAAGGTGATAACCAGGTCTTTTTGTTTGGTTCCATGAATCGCAATATTCTGCGATTGGCTGAGGTATACCGAATTTGAAATGCATCTCATGTGCTGCAAGAATTCCTCATTCTACTGCCGGCAGAGTTGGGGATCTGGCTCATGAAGTCTAAAACACATCAAGCTGTGGGGCAGTAACCGTAGACACACCGCCTTTATGACCCAGATAGGACTGCATGTTTAGCATGGCTGATGTCGAATGCAGGTGGAGGGATTTTAGCTGTTGATATTTAAATCTAGATGTGGTCTAAAGAGTATAAGAAAGAATGTGATGGTAGATGTATGGCTGGATGGATGAGTGGTTTCTTGAGTTGGTGAAAGAATGTGTGGGTAGATAATTAGAAGAAAGCATTAATAGGTGAAAGGTTATGTAGGTAGATAAGGGGATGAAATAATGTATGAATAGATGAGTGGGTGGATGAAAATAATGGGGGATAGATATGTGGATAAAGTTGTGGATCAGTGAGCTGGTGATAGAATAGGAAGGTAGATAGAAGAATGGGTGGATAGATGCGTTGTGATTATTTTAATGGAGACCGAAATGTGATGTTGTTTGTTGCCAGTTAAGCCATATATCACCAGTGACGGCACATGTGGAGGAGTCGACTGGCCAGGTGGACGGCTCTGTTGGTAGTGGAATGGTTACCCCCGGCAACAGCTTCATACAGAACCTTCGGGACAATGTCGGCAAGAAGTTCTCTGTGGTAAGATTGTTTTATTCTTCATTGGTTCTGTAGCACAATTGCTTCCATTTCATAATTGGTGACACGGGGGTGTTATGATATGGCTTGGTTTGGTGTTCGCTAATCTTATTATAGTGTTTGTGAGAGGTTGTGTTGTTGTGAATCTATTTATGGCCTGCAGGCGCGACGATTCTTGAGTATCAAAACTATGATGTTTTTGTGTTTCTACGTTCATTGGCAGTGCCCCCCCCCCCCCTTCCCACCCATAGAGAAAGAAAGCACTTACAAGGAACACAGAAAAGAGGGAACGGTTAAACTATTGACAATAAGGAGAATATGACACCCCCGCAACATAGGAGAGGTCCTGTGACCTGAGAAGGCATTAATGGCAAGGGAAATGACTCTCATCCTAGGCAGAAAACGTAAATAGAATCAAAAGGTCCTTTACTTAGACTGGTTAATGAGGAAATTAAAAATGGAGCCGAAACATCCTTTACTTAGACTGGTTAATGGAGAAATTAGAATTGGAGCCGAAAAGTCCTTAAATTATTTAGACTGGTTAATGAGAAAATGAGAAATGGAGCAAAAAGGTCCTTTACTTAGACTGGTTAATGGAGAAAATATAAATGGAGCAAATAGTTTCTTTACTTACTCAGACTGGTTAATGGAGAAATTACAAATTAAGACAAGATATCTCTAAAATAATGTCAGCTAGAGTGCTGAAATTTAAAAAGAAATGATAGTTTTTGGTAAATTTGTTTGACTGGAAAACCTATGCATGGTTATATCCATGAGAAAGATTTCCTCAAACACCTCAACAGAACAGACCAAGTAAGTTTTTCGCGTACAGACTGATCACTGCACTCGTATAAATTAGGTATGAGCCAAACAGCTCTCTTCTGTCAGTGTCTTCGTGCTGAACATACTCCAGAACAAGTCTTGCATGACTGCCCTTGCATGGTGTCTTGTGGAGCGACATGTGGCCACGTCCAGAAGAACTGATATCTCAGCTTTGGGGAAACATAAGAGACCTTGAAATGACATCCCAGTTTATGGCCCACAGTTGATTAGGCGCATGACCAGAGATTGCTGAAACAGAAGAAGAATTTGTTTATGTCTATCTGTCACAGCTTTGTGCATCCTCTCTCTCTCTCTCTCTCTCTTTTTCCGTCTATCTCTCTCTCTTCCCCCCCCCCCCCCCTCTTCCCTCATTCTCAAGTAAATACAAAAATAGCAGGCACAGGAATTTGCTTATTTGTAATTTGTATGTCTGTTTCACAAGTAATTCTCCCTCTTTCTCTCTTTTAATTTATCTCCCATTCTCTGTATTCGAAAATGTTTCCAGTTAAACAAGTCTCTCTCTCTCTCTCTCTCTCTCTCTCTCTCTCTCTCTCTCTCTCTCTCTCTCTCTCTCTCTCTCTCTCTCTCTCTCTCTCTCTCTCTCTCTCTCTCTCTCTCTCTCTCTCTCTCTCTCTCTCTCTCTCTCTCTCTCTCTCTCTCTCTCTCTCTCTCTCTCTCTCTCTCTCTCTCTCTCTCTCTCTCTCTCTCTCTCTCTCTCTCTCTCTCTCTCTCTCTCTCTCTCTCTCTCTCTCTCTCTCTCTCTCTCTCTCTCTCTCTCTTTTTTTTTTTTTTTTTTTTTTTTCCCCCACATCTGTGTCTGGAAAATCAAATATATGCACCACATACCTGCATGTACAGAGTCTTAACTTTCTGTCTCTTATTTGTATGTCTCTTTCAAAGTTGCTTGTATCTCACAGACAGTGGCTTTCTATTTTCTTTTAGGAATTATTAAATGGAAGCTTATGCAGGACCGAGCTGCCGCCGGTGACCAGCTCCCCAGGAAGTAAGTATCCCATCGGGATGTTAGTGGCAGAGATAGGCAATTGTCACTGATTCAGAGAAATATAACAGGTCACATGACAGCTCAATATTTTTTTCACATGCTTATCCTTCTTCTTAATGTCTGTGTCCAGTCTCTTGTTTCATATGGACAGTTTTTAATTTAACATTAGCATTCTTCTCAGTGTTTCTGTCCAATCTCTTGTTTCTTATGGACAGTTGTTTTCTATTTTAATTTAACATTAAAATTTTTCTTAATGCTATGAAAAAGTGAACACAGTTCTTTCATGAAATAACACACCACTTGTAGAACTGAATAACCAGACATGACAAACCAGTCATGGGACTCAGAAATGACTAGACATAGCGTATCATAATGTAACCCTTGACTCATTAAGGTCGTGGAAGTGTATCCATGGAAGCACTAACATACAGAACTTTCAGACTTGTTTCAAAACCTGAGTGCACATACATTTTACAGGTCTGACTTATTTGTATGCAGACTGTTGGTTACTTGCCTTTCGGACAGATGCAATCAGACTTCGAAGGAAACCCCAGTTAGTCGACTCTTACGACATGCTTGTTGGGGAGGCAGTAGTTCTCTTCTTGTTTTTCCCACAATGGGTCCCCGGAAGCCACACAGGGATCTTAGAGACTGAATAACTAGACATGACATACCAGTGTTGAGTAAATAGACATGACATACCAGTGTTGAGTAACTACACATGACCTACCAGTGTTGAGTAACTAGACATGACATACCAGTGTTGAGTAACTAGACATGACATACCAGTGTTGAGTAACTAGACATGACATACCATGTTGAGTAACTAGACATGACATACCAGTGTTGAATAACTAGACATGACATACCAGTGTTGAATAGCTAGACATGACATACCAGTGTTGAATAGCTAGACATGACATACCAGTGTTGAATAACTAGACATGATATACCAGTGTTGAATAGCTAGACATGACATACCAGTCTTAGGGACTGAAAAACTAGACATGACATACCGGTGTTGAGTAACTAGACATGACATACCAGTGTTGAGTAACTAGACATGACATACCAGTGTTAAATAACTAGACATGACATACCAGTGTTAAATAACTAGACATGGCATACCAGTGTTGAATAACTAGACATGTCATACCAGTGTTGAATAACTAGACATGACATACCAGTGTTGAGTAACTAGACATGTCATACCAGTGTTGAATAACTAGACATGACATACCAGTGTTAAATAACTAAACATGACATACCAGTGTTAAATAACTAGACATGACATACCAGTGTTGAATAACTAGACATGATATACCAGTGTTGAATAACTAGACATGTCATACCAGTGTTGAATAACTAGACATGACATACCAGTGTTGAGTAACTAAACATGACATACCAGTGTTGAATAACTAGACATGACATACCAGTGTTGAGTAACTAGACATGACATACCAATGTTGAGTAACTAGACATGACATACCAGTCTTAGGGACTGAAAAACTAGACATGACATACAAGTGTTGAATAACTAGACATGACATACCAGTATTGAGTAACTAGCCATGACTTACCATTCTTAGGGAATTAATAACTAGACATGACATACCTGTGTTTAATAACTAGACAACATACCAGTGTTAGGGACTGAATAACCAGACATGACATACCAGTCTTAGAGATGGAATAACTAGATGTGACATACCTGTGTTTAATAACTAGACAACATATCAGTGTCAGGGACTGAATAACTAGACATGACATACCAGTGTTAGGGACTGAATAACTAGACATGACGTACCAGTGTTAGGGACTGAATAACTAGACAACATACCAGTGTTAGGGACTGAATAACTAGACATGACATACCAGTGTTAGGGACTGAATAACTAGACATGACATACCAGTGTCAGGGACTAAATAACTAGACATGACATGCCAGTCTTAGTAACTGAATAACTAGACATGACATACCAGTGTCAGGGACTAAATAACTAGACATGACATACCAGTCTTAGGAACTGAATAACTAGACACAACATGCCAGTCTTCGGGACTGAATAACTAGACATGACATACCAGTGTTGAATAACTAGACATGACATACCAATCTTAGGGAAAGAATAACTAGACATGACATACCAGTGTCAGGGACTAAATAACTAGACATGAGATACCAGTGTTGAATAACTAGACATGACATACCAATCTTATGGAATGAATAACTAGACATGATATACCAGTGTTGAATAACTAGACATGACATACCAGTGTTGAGTAACTAGACATGACATACCAGTGTTGAATAACTAGACATGACATACCAGTCTTAGGGAATGAATAACTAGACATGACATACCAGTGTCAGGGACTAAATAACTAGACATGAGATACCAGTGTTGAATAACTAGACATGACATACCAGTCTTAGGGAATGAATAACTAGACATGACATACAAGTTTTAAAGACTGAATAACTAGACATGACATACCTGTCTTAGGGAATGAACAACTAGACATGACATACCAGTGTTAGCGACGGAATAACTAGACATGACATACCAGTCTTACAGATTGAATAGCTAAACATGACATACCAGTTTTAGGTACTGAATAACTAGACATGTCATACCAGTGTTAGGGACTGAATAACTAGACTTGACATACCAGTGCTAGGGACTAAATAACTAGACATAACACACCAGTCTCAGAGACTAAACATCTAGACATGACATGCCAGTCTGAGAGATGTAATGCCTAGACATACCAGTCTTGGGAACAAATAACATGACATAGCAGTCTTGGGGACAGTTTAATTTGTTTGATTTACCAGTTTGGAGACAAATTTACATGACACACCACTCTTGATGGACAGAAGAACATAACATACCAGTCACCTAACTCAGTAACCAGAGATGACTTAGTTTTGAAACTGATTAATGAGACATATAATTTTGCCAGTGTTTAGAACATTATGATCCATGTTTTTTGTCTGTTGTTGTAGTTGACCTCTGCTTGAAGGCTCTCAAGCACTTGTTGCCGAGTGACCGGGCTCTCCAGCTGCTGGCCCGCTGGTACACCACACGCAGCACTCCTGGTGGAGTCGGCAACGTCTCAGAGTGGTCCATGTTCACCAAATGTATCCTGGGGCTCATGGGATATGATGTGGGCAAACTTCGACTGACCAGCAAGGTCCTTGTTTTTCTGTCAGCTGGATTATAATGTGGTTTAATTTGTTGGATTGTTAACTTTGTTTCAGTTGTCAGGTTATTTTGAGTACTCAGATTATTTTGTTTTGGTTGTCTGGTTGCAATTTTGTTTCAATTGTGAGGTTGTTATTTTGTTTCAATTGTGAGGTTTGGGGAGGGGGAGGTGGTCTGGTTGTTATTTTGTATCAGTTGTGAGGTTGTTATTTTGTTTCGGTTGTCTGGTTGTTATTTTGTTTCAGTTATCTGATTTCTATTTTGTTTTAATTGTGAGGTTGTTATTTTGATTTGGTTGTCTGGTTGTTTTTTTGTTTTAGTTGTCTGGTTGTTTTTTTGTTTCAGTTGTCTGGTTGTTATTTTGTTTCGGTTGTTAGGTCTTTTTTTTTTTTTTCTAGAATAATGAGATTGTTACTGTTTTTGATTTATTGGATTACATTTTTTTTTGGGTGACATTGTTATTTTTGGTGATTTGTCAATTTATTTTATTTAGTGATTTGTCAGTATGTTATTTTTGGTGATTTGTCAGATTATTATGTTTGGTGATTTGTAAGATTGTTAAGTTTGGTGATTTGTAAGATTGTTAAGTTTGGTGATTTGTCAGATTATTATGTTTGGTGATTTGTAAGATTGTTAAGTTTGGTGATTTGTCAGATTATTATGTTTGGTGATTTGTAATATTGTTAAGTTTGGTGATTTGTCAGATTATTATGTTTGGTGATTTGTAAGATTGTTAAGTTTGGTGATTTGTCAGATTATTATGTTTGGTGATTTGTAAGATTGTTAAGTTTGGTGATTTGTAAGATTGTTAAGTTTGGTGATTTGTCAGATTATTATGTTTGGTGATTTGTAAGATTGTTAAGTTTGGTGATTTGTCAGATTGTTAAGTTTGGTGATTTGTAAGATTGTTAAGTTTGGTGATTTGTAAGATTGTTAAGTTTGGTGATTTGTAAGATTGTTAAGTTTGGTGATTTGTCAGATTGTTATGTTTGGTGATTTGTAAGATTGTTATGTTTGGTGATTTGTAAGATTGTTAAGTTTGGTGATTTGTAAGATTGTTAAGTTTGGTGATTTGTAAGATTGTTAAGTTTGGTGATTTGTAAGATTGTTAAGTTTGGTGATTTGTAAGATTGTTATGTTTGGTGATTTGTAAGATTGTTAAGTTTGGTGATTTGTAAGATTGTTAAGTTTGGTGATTTGTAAGATTGTTAAGTTTGGTGATTTGTAAGATTGTTAAGTTTGGTGATTTGTAAGATTGTTAAGTTTGGTGATTTGTAAGATTGTTATGTTTGGTGATTTGTAATATTGTTAAGTTTGGTGATTTGTAAGATTGTTAAGTTTGGTGATTTGTAAGATTGTTAAGTTTGGTGATTTGTAAGATTGTTAAGTTTGGTGATTTGTAAGATTGTTATGTTTGGTGATTTGTAATATTGTTAAGTTTGGTGATTTGTAAGATTGTTAAGTTTGGTGATTTGCAATATTGTTAAGTTTGGTGATTTGCAATATTGTTATGTTTGGTGATTTGTAAGATTGTTAAGTTTGGTGAATTGTCAGATGTCGTGATGTTTAATTTTGGTCATTTATACATCTTACACATAAACATTTCTTTTTTCCTAGAGACAAAAAGGTGCCGGTACTCACCTCATTGTCTATTACAGCAGATCTGGGGAAAAAATGAAGCCTACATAAAATATGCCGGTACTTGTACCATTGTATACCACCCACACATGAATACAGTTTTATAAACAGTTAAAACCTTGCACATAAATATATATGATATACATACAGCTTTGTATCTAAGCAGTGAAGTTTCACTTTGTAATATATCACAACCAGACGTCTTGCACTGTTAGATTTGCTTGTTGGATTTTTTGTAACCAAAACTTGTAAAAGGTAGTAGCCAAAAAAAAGTTGATTGTGTGAATTAGTGAGTGAATGAAGAATTAACATTGCTGTATTGAGGACTTTCCCATATCTGCTCTGCCGTCTTCCTAAGTGTCCAGCGAAGAGTGTCCATACTTATTGTGCTAGTTGCAACCTGATTAAAAGTTTTGTCCTTTCCTTGTGGAATAGAAAAATCATCCAGACCCTCTGCTGTATGTTTTTAGTTTGATTGTATGTGCGGTTAAGGGAAGTGTAAAATTGTTTGTTAATATAATTAAGGGAAGTGTGTGAGATTGTATGTGTGGTGAGGGTAAGTGTGTAAGATTGTATGTGTAGTTAAGGGATATGTGTAAGATTGCATATGTGATTAAGGGAAGTGTAAAGGGGTGTATGTGTAAAGGGAAGTATGTAAGATTGTATGTGTGGTTGAGGGAAGTGTGTAAGAATGGGTGTATGGTTAAGGAAGTGTGTAAGATTGTATGTGTGGTTAAGAGAAGTGTGTAGGATTGTATTTTTGCTTATGGGAAGTATGTAAGATTGTATTTCTTGTTAAGGAAAGTGTGTATGATTGTATGTGTGGTTAAGAGTAGTGTTTCAGATTGTATTTGTGGTTAAGGGAAGAGTGTAAGATTGTATGTGTGGTTAAGGAAAATGTGACAGATTGTGTTTGTGGTTAAGGCATGTGTGAATGATTGTATGTTTTGTTAAGGAAAATGTGTAAAATTGTATTTGTGGTTACAGGAAATGTGTTTAGCCAAGGGAAAAGTATGAGGGATTTTTCAGTAACAGAGAAAAGAATAATAGCAATCATTAAATAGCACAGGTAACTAACTGTAATATCATTAATTGATTTAAAAAAAAAATATTTTTATTGCTCTGTTGTTTACAGGGAGGCAGAGACGGATCCTTCTCTCCAGTGTTACGCCCCAAGAAAGCCAGGCCTTCGGGCCAAGGATCTGAGGAGGTTAAGTACTCTCTTTTTCTTTGAAAACATTATACTGTTAGTGTTGGTGAGGTTCTGCATATTCTTCTTAGAAAACACACCAGTAGTGAGGAGGTTCTGTGTGTTCTTAGTTTCATCGTACTGAAAATGAGGTTGAGTATACTTTTCTTCTTAGATAACATTATACCCATATTGAGATTCTATATATTCTTCACATAAACATTATACCACTTTTGAGGTTCTGTATATTCTTCATATATAAAATCATACAACATGAGGTTCTGTATATTGATATTGTTCTTAGTTTTATAGTAAACTCAAAACTAAACAAATATAATACAAACATAATGTATGTTTATCTTGTGTAAGAAACATAATGACTGTTTATCTTATGGAAGCAACATAATGACTGTTTATCTTGTGGAAGCAACATAATGACTGTTTTTCTTGTGGAAGCAACATAATGACTGTTCATCTTGTGGGAGCAACATAATGACTGTTTTTCTTGTGGAAGCAACATAATGACTGTTCATCTTGTGGGAGCAACATAATGACTGTTATCTTGTGGAAGCAACATTTTGACTGATTATCTTAGGGAAGCAACAAAATGACTGTTTATCTTGTGGGAGCAACATAATGACTGTTTTTCTTGTGGAAGCAACATAATGACTGTTCATCTTGTGGGAGCAACATAATGACTGTTTTTCTTGTGGAAGCAACATAATGACTGTTCATCTTGTGGGAGCAACATAATGACTGTTTTTCTTGTGGAAGCAACATAATGACTGTTCATCTTGTGGGAGCAACATAATGACTGTTTTTCTTGTGGAAGCAACATAATGACTGTTCATCTTGTGGGAGCAACATAATGACTGTTTATCTTGTGGAAGCAATATAATGACTGTTTATCTTGTGGAAGCAACATTTTGACTGATTATCTTAGGGAAGCAACAAAATGACTTTTTATCTTGTAGAAGCAACATAATGACTTTTTATCTTGTGGAAGCAACATACGGACTGTTTATATTGTGGAAGCAACATAAAGACTTTCTATCTTGTGGACGCAACATAATGACTTTATCTTATGGTAGCAACAAAATGACTGTTTCCTTATCTTGTGGGAGCAACATAATGACTTTATTTTCTTTTGGGAGCAGTGTAATGATTGTTTATCTTGTGGCAGCAGGATAGTAGCTGCTTATCTTGTAAAGCCCGCTTACAACATGGCTGTTTTCTGTGTCTGCAGGATTGGGAGTACATCCTCAACAGCGAGCACCATCATCTTGCTGGACAGTCCCACCATGTCCTGGGCATCACCAACTGCAGCCCCACCACTGACCAATCTGCGTCAGGTCGTCCATGTGGGATTAACCAGTCTGCTCTTCTTTTTAGTTTCTGTCCATCCGTCTTGCTGGGATTACATCTCGTGTATGAGGTATTGAATGCTGCAGTGTGTAACAGTGCTCTGGTGGGCAGTGGTGCCTGTAGTGGGTGGTAGCGCTCTAGTGTGCAGCAGTACTCTATTGGGCAGTGGTGCCTGTAGTGGGTGGTAGCGCTCTAGTGTGCAGCAGTACTCTATTGGGCAGTGGTGCCTGTAATGGGTGGTAGCGCTCTAGTGTGCAGCAGTACTCTATTGGGCAGTGGTGCCTGTAATGGGTGGTAGCGCTCTAGTGTGCAGCAGTACTCTATTGGGCAGTGGTGCCTGTAATGGGTGGTAGCGCTCTAGTGTGCAGCAGTACTCTATTGGGCAGTGGTGCCTGTAGTGGGTGGTAGCGCTCTAGTGTGCAGCAGTACTCTATTGGGCAGTGGTGCCTGTAATGGGTGGTAGCGCTCTAGTGTGCAGCAGTACTCTATTGGGCAGTGGTGCCTGTAATGGGTGGTAGCGCTCTAGTGTGCAGCAGTACTCTATTGGGCAGTGGTGCCTGTAATGGGTGGTAGCGCTCTAGTGTGCAGCAGTACTTTATTGGGCAGTGGTGCCTGTAGTGGGTGGTAGCGCTCTAGTGTGCAGCAGTACTCTATTGGGCAGTGGTGCCTGTAGTGGGTGGTAGCGCTCTAGTGTGCAGCAGTACTCTATTGGGCAGTGGTGCCTGTAATGGGTGGTAGCGCTCTAGTGTGCAGCAGTACTCTATTGGGCAGTGGTGCCTGTAATGGGTGGTAGCGCTCTAGTGTGCAGCAGTACTCTTTTGGGCAGTGGTGCCTGTAATGGGTGGTAGCGCTCTAGTGTGCAGCAGTACTCTATTGGGCAGTGGTGCCTGTAGTGGGTGGTAGCGCTTTAGTGTGCAGCAGTGCTCTAGTGGGCAGTGGTGCCTGTAGTGGGTGGTAGCGCTCTAGTGTGCAGCAGTACTCTATTGGGCAGTGGTGCCTGTAGTGGGTGGTAGCGCTTTAGTGTGCAGCAGTGCTCTAGTGGGCAGTGGTGCCTGTAGTGGGTGGTAGCGCTCTAGTGTGCAGCAGTGCTCTAGTGGGCAGTGGTGCCTGTAGTGGGTGGTAGCGCTCTAGTGTGCAGCAGTGCTCTAGTGGGCAGTGGTGCCTGTAGTGGGTGGTAGCGCTCTAGTGTGCAGCAGTACTCTATTGGGCAGTGGTGCCTGTAGTGGGTGGTAGCGCTCTAGTGTGCAGCAGTACTCTAGTGTGTAGTACTGCTCTAATGTTTACTAGTGGGTGCTTTCATTTCTGTTCACCCCAAACAGACAGTCCAATATTTCAGAGGGTGGTAGATAGGCTGCATGCAATTGTGGGACCTAGGCTGCACTCTCTCGTGGGACATAGGCGGGTTGGGGTTAGATCCAGTTCTAGGTGTTTTGGGATTGTTGAAAACACTACAAAGCTGGGGAAACCCGGTCTTACCATCCTCAAAAGTATTGGACAATCCCTGTAACGTCATCTGGGGTGATTTGTAATGAAAGAACCTACTAGTGCTTTAGTGTACAGTGGAGCTGCAGTGTGCTGTGATGTTTTAGTGGGTAATCATGCTCTATTACAGACATGTCAAACTGAGGGTTCTGCTTGGTCATATGAGTCACATTTGTGTTGTCATGAGAGCCACACGCAACAGCTAATTGAAGCCATTTAATAACAATAATTTGCAGAATATTTTTATTGCAATCTGGAGGTGTGCTTGCCAAGGGCCGCATGCCGCTCACGGTTGCATGTTTAACATGCCTGCTTTAGTGCTCAGTAGTGCTACAGTGTGCAGAGTGCTGCAGTGTGCAGTAGTGCTACAGTGAACTGTAGGGCTACAGTGCGCAGTAGTGCTACAGTGTGCAGATGGCTGCAGTGTACAGTAGTGCTACAGTGTACAGTGGGGCTACAGTGTACAGTAGTGCTACAGTGTGCTGTAGTGCTACAGTGTACAGTAATGCTACAGTGTACAGTAGTGGTGCTACAGTGTACAGTAGTGCTACAGTGTGCAGTAGGGCTACAGTGCACAGTAGGGCTACAGTGTACAGTAGGGCTACAGTGTACAGTAGGCTGCAGTAATGCATGGCATCCATTTTGCCTTGATTTATTTGGACAGACTACTAGTTCTGGAGTTTTGTCCACTCTCTGTTTGATCCACTCACTGTTTGATCCACTCACTGTTTGATCCACTCACTGTTTGATCCACTGAGAGCATCTCACTGTTAAAAAAAAAAAAACAAGAAGCTTTCATCTGAACTGAACAGAGTGCTGAATGATACACTGAAGATCAAATACAATTTGTAGTGAGCTTTGAACTCCTGATGACACTGTAGGAGAGTATGAACTCACATCACCAACTTTTCCTTCATGAAGAAATGGGGTGGTTACAGAGAGGACGTATTCTTGCACATGTTTTTTAGACTTAGTCATGAAGTAAAGAAAGTCTTGTGAGACCAAACATATGATCTAATAGGTCCTTTATTGAATAAGAAATGGATGGTTAAGCTGGCTTATGTGGCAGACATATTTTGCCTCCTTTGTGAACTTAACATTTCTCTTCAGGGGACTTGTACAAATATTTCTACATTTAGAAATAAAATCACTGGTAAATTCTGTTCCAACTACACAGCAGAGATACTAGCACTAGAGCAGGCTGCCGAAATGTTACACAACACCAGTTGTGACTGCCACCAAGGGGACATTTTCACAGATGCGCTATCGGTGCTCCAAGCCCTTAAAAGTGGTGAACTCCCTCACCTGGGATCTGAACTTGGCTGCCCAAAAGCATACTGTGCTCCAATGGGTGCCATCCCACTGTGGTATACCAGGAAACGAAAGCCCAGATAAACTTGCTAAGAAAGGGGCAGAACCGGAAGAGAATGCAGTGACATAATATGAGAAGAAAAGGTCCATCCAGTCTATCAGACGTGAACAGAGTCTGGCCAGAGATGACTACCACTTACTTGACTGGCATGGGCAGGTCATTATTCTACTACTACTTACTCTGTCATGGGCAGGTCATTATTCTACGCCTCAGGACAGGACAAAACAAAAATTAGTAAGCGAACAAAAGAAGAAGGAATAAAATGGGTGCTTTCATGAAAATGTTGCCTGTCTGGGATATTTGCCTATAAGATGAAGACAGAAATGTTTTCACTATATCTTAGGGGTGAGCTGAAAACAGTAATAATTCATTTCTAAAAATGAGGGTTCTCAAAAAGCACCTTTTCGATTAAAAATAATTAATGCCTTTTTGAAATATGTAAGATCATATGTTCTTTATCATCATGTCAAAAAAAAAAAAGAATAGTTGTCTTCTGATGTGACTTTTATATCCAGACATAAAATGTAGTCAGTGTCTGAGTTTTGGATAACTCTCGAAAAAAATATTGATGGTGGATGGCTTGAGGCAGTGGCATGGAGGAATATCATCAGTGGGATTGATCCAGAACACCAAAGACCGAGATCTGTGGCGATGCATGAACACCTACGCCAGCTGGCAAGGCATTTGATGATGATGATCATCATTTCTCATTTAATCTACATAACTTGTATATGTTCTCTGCTTCCTACTAGGAAATGAAATTAAATGTTTTACTGCAAGCGGAAGTGCTTTCTCTGGCTCCTTTAGTTCACCAGCTTGCCAGGTAAGTGCTGAGATGACCTGAGAACGTTGATCAAACCATCAGTTTTGTCCCATCCAGGTTGCTTCCTAAAGGTTTACCATGCCATCCAGAGATGTAAAAATCTTAGTCTGGAAGGCAGACCAACAAGGGCGATCCCATACCCCATTCAACCTCCATGGCGAAGTGATCAAGGTGTTTGCCTGGCGCACTGAAGGTCATGGGTTTATTTCACGGCTGCACGATTTAAGTTCACTTGTGCAATTTTTACAAAGATCTATGGGGATCATTGCAGGAGCTACAGAGTTCATGCTATGTGCATTGCTTTTGGCAGACAGCTTGCCTTAATGCGAAAAAAAGACCGAGCCATATGGGATAAAACCTGGTGCAGTGAAGTCAGTCATAGGTTCATAAAAATTGCACATAACCTGAACCTTTAGGATTCTTTATCCTATGTTTCCTTGCACATTTGTGTTCCCTTTTGATCTGGGCACCCTTGATGTACTCTGTCTTCTTCTTCTTCTCTTCTACCTTGTACCTCAGCGAAGTGTCGTGGGGAGATGTAACATTTGTTGATGAGCTCTGTCAAGAGCACTATTAAAACAATGTTCATTTCTGTAAGGCTGTTCTAAATGCCATCACTCCATATTTTCTTAGGTCTTCCACTCGCTCTATACGGTTGTAACATTTTAATGTGGCTCGCTGTGGCAGATAGTACCAGGGCATTCTTGTTAGGTGTCCAAACCCCTTCATTTGTTGTTCTTTGATGACTTTTAAGACTTTCTATCTTGACATATTTTTTAGAATATTTGTTTAAAAGTAATCTGTTAGCCTTGACATCCCCTGGTATACTTTGCCTGTGTTGTCGTCATTAGATATTCTCTTTATGTGTTGACATCTATTTTGAAATCCATGACACGCTGACGCTTAACACTCAAGGAAAATGATCTACAATCAAACAGTTACTGATACCCTCGGAACTGGAACTCTTCGCTTGCTGCTGAAGTTGTAGACGGAGCGCTTATCAGAGTGCCCCGAGTGCTGTGATGTCGATTCCTAATTCAGCTTTCATTCAACATCAACAACATACATTGACATACGTCCGTGCCGATATCCCTTGAAACACACCACCTGTCTTGTCATCCCATTTAACTAGGCCTCAAATGTCCGACAATTACAGGACCAATCTACTCATGGTCTCTACAACTGCAGTGTGAAAGATGGGTGTTTGGAAGGGCCGATTGTGAAACGGGCTTGTGTGCCCAATTTGTAGTCCTTTGAAAATAAAGTTTGTTCGTTCTGAGCTGTACAGGGTTATTCAAAAAGGCTGATACACTTTCATTTGTGTTTATTTTCTTGAAAAAAAAAAAACGTTAAATGTGAATAATATACATGCAAGAGAGAGTGGAAGGTCTAAAGTTTCAAATACAGCCGCTAGAGTGCAGTTGAGCAACCAGCCAGAACCGTATCATAGCTGCAGTGAACTCCGTTATGCAAGAGGTGCTTCTTCATGTGTCTGATAAGTTTGGCTGCCGCTTGGATGTTTGCAGAGCAGCGGACGGCAGCCATATTGAACATCCATACTCTGTTGTAAGTTTGTAAACTAAAGACCTTCCACTCTCTTTTGAATGTTTTTTAAAAATATGTAATGTATCATCATCGTGTAGCAGGTCCTTTGCAGAATGTCGCTCTCATTGCGGTCTACCTAAAAGAAACTCGGTCTCTCGCCAGTTCTCCCGCCTCATGTACTTTCATACTTAAGGAGTCACTTATATCCTGTGACCATCTTTGTGTTGGTCGGCCCCTGCCCCTCCTTCCTGGTACTATGCCATCTGCTATAATTTTTTCCAATCTGTCATGGTGCTTGATGTGACCAAAATATTTCAGCTTTCGAGACAGGATGCTGTTTATTAGTCAATCTTCCTTGATGTTCAGACCTTTCAAGATGTCAGTATGTCTCCTCTTTTTTGTCCCGGCTATTCTGAGAATCTTTCTATAGCATTTCAGCTCAAAAGTCCCTATTCTCTTTCTTAAGGACTGGGAGATGGTCCACGACTCACAATGTAATGTTTATTCAAGAAAATATACATGAATGAAAGTATATCATATAGCTTGTCAAAGGTATGTATGTACAACCTGCAAAATCCTATAAATACAAACTACCATATTTCTAGTCTTAATATAAAGCCTGCTAAAACATCTATATTTGCAACCTGTCACATTTGTGTATCATGTCTGGATTCGACAGTGACCTCAGATGTGAAAGTTATGCAGACGGCTACAGACGAGACTTCCCACATTTGTTTCATGACATTGATGAACTCAGCCCAGTTACACAAGGTTAGTGGCTCATTCAACTGTTCCGTCATAGCTGTGGTTTTTTTTTTCTCACTTCATGGGAACAAGGCAAATTTCATTTCGCATGTCCTTTCTCACGTGTGAGAGAAGTCTCCTTTTTTGTTTGTGAGAGAAGCCTTGTTTCTTGTTTGTGAGAGTAGCCTTGTTTCTTGTTTGTGAGAGAAGCCTTGTTTCTTGTTTGTGAGAGAAGCTGTGTTTCTTGTTTGTGAGAGTAGCCTCCTTTCTTGTTTGTGAGAGAAGTCTCCTTTTTTGTTTGTGAGAGTAGCCTTGTTTCCTGTTTGTGAGAGTAGCCTTGTTTCTTGTTTGTGAGAGAAGCCTTGTTTCCTGTTTGTGAGAGTAGCCTTGTTTCTTGTTTGTGAGAGTAGCCTTGTTTCTTGTTTGTGAGAGAAGCTGTGTTTCTTGTTTGTGAGAGAAGCTGTGTTTCTTGTTTGTGAAAGAAGCCTTGATTCTTGTTTGTGAGAGAAGCCTTGTTTCTTGTTTGTGAGAGAAGCCTGTTTCTTGTTTGTGAGAGAAGCCTTGTTTCTTGTTTGTGAGAGTAGCCTTGTTTCTTGTTTGTGAGAGAAGCCTTGTTTCTTGTTTGTGAGAGAAACCTTGTTTCCTGTTTGTGAGAGTAGCCTCCTTTCTTGTTTGTGAGAGTAGTCTCCTTTTTTGTTTGTGAGAGTAGCCTCCTTTCTTGTTTGTGAGAGAAGCCTTGTTTCTTGTTTGTGAGAGAAGCCTTGTTTCTTGTTTGTGAGAGAAACCTTGTTTCCTGTTTGTGAGAGTAGCCTCCTTTCTTGTTTGTGAGAGTAGTCTCCTTTTTTGTTTGTGAGAGTAGCCTCCTTTCTTGTTTGTGAGAGAAGCCTTGTTTCTTGTTTGTGAGAGTAGTCTCCTTTTTTGTTTGTGAGAGTAGCCTCCTTTCTTGTTTGTGAGAGTAGTCTCCTTTTTTGTTTGTGAGAGTAGCCTCCTTTCTTGTTTGTGAGAGAAGCCTTGTTTCTTGTTTGTGAGAGAAGCCTTGTTTCTTGTTTGTGAGAGAAGCCTTGTTTCTTGTTTGTGAGAGAAGTCTCCTTTCTTGTTTGTGAGAGAAGCATTGTTTCTTGTTTGTGAGAGAAGCCTTGTTTCTTGTTTGTGAATGAAGCCTTGTTTCTTGTTTGTGAGAGAAGCCTTGTTTCTTGTTTGTGAGAGAAGCCTGTTTCTTGTTTGTGAGAGAAGCCTTGTTTCTTGTTTGTGAGAGTAGCCTTGTTTCTTGTTTGTGAGAGAAGCCTTGTTTCTTGTTTGTGAGAGAAACCTTGTTTCTTGTTTGTGAGAGTAGCCTTATTTCTTGTTTGTGAGAGAAGCCTTGTTTCCTGTTTGTGAGAGTAGCCTTGTTTCTTGTTTGTGAGAGAAGCCTTGTTTCTTGTTTATGAGAGTAGCCTTGTTTCTTGTTTGTGAGAGAAGCCTTGTTTCTTGTTTGTGAGAGTAGCCTTGTTTCTTGTTTGTAAGAGAAGCCTTCTTTCTTGTTTATGAGAGAAGCCGTGTTTCTTGTTTGTGAGAGAAGCTGTGTTTCTTGTTTGTGAGAGAAGCCTTCTTTCTTGTTTATGAGAGAAGCCTTGTTTCTTGTTTATGAGAGAAGCCTTGTTTCTTGTTTGTGAGAGAAGCCTTGTTTCTTGTTTGTGAGAGAAGCTGTGTTTCTTGTTTGTGAGAGAAGCCTCCTTTCTTATGTGTGAGAGAGGCCCCCTTTCTCATGTATGAGAGAAGCCTCCTGTCTCATGTGTGTGTGTGTGTGGGTCAGCTGGGGGGGGGGGGGATAGACTTGTATCGTGTGTGAAAGATAAAACATCTAGCAGATAATTTGTGTGAAAGGGGGTGAAACACATCAGATTAAGTTACTTGCATTAAGTTTTTGAATGCTCTGCTTACCAGGTGACCTGGAAAAGATGCAGTATCCACACATCTTCCCATCTGAAGCTCCGACTGTGCTTGGCTGGATCACACAAGCCCTGACCACAGGTCAAGATCCAAACCCTATGCCTTACATTCCCGGGGTCTGTGACAACATTAGAAAGGTCATTTCTGTAAGTATGTCATGTGGCTTTATGAGTTGTTTCTCTTGCATCTGCTATACTTTTTGTGTGTCTTGCATCCCATATTGTGCCAACGGCTTCGGGCGGAGGAGAACATCGGGGAGGGTACTAGCCTTATTCAAAGAAGAGGAAATGCAACCTAAAAACTGTTTGCTGTGGCAGGACAAATAAGGCCCTTTGCCTTGGCTGGCAGCTGAGGAAAGCTCTGACAGGCAGACAGATGGAGCACTGCTCATCTTATCCGGCAGCCTCTGCAGCTTGTATTGTTCCAAATGTACTGGTGTTACCCTTTCTTTGGAGTTAACAAGGCAGGTTGAATGAGGGATCATGATGCATGGGCGACATGTGGTTTCTACAGTACTGACCAGTCTTTGTGCTCTAGAGAGGAACAAAATGTTATGGACTTGTGGGAGCACAATGCCATGGACCGTGTTGCGTGGAGGGGACACATCAGGAAGGGAATGAGAATGCAGGAAGAAATGACTGCAGAAAGGATGAGAGCTGAGTATCCGAGAAGAAACAGACTAAAGACATATGTTGACCACAAGAGTCCTGTAAATCTCATGCTATAGAAGACTTTTCTTGATGCAGGCAGGTCTTGTTAGTCACACTCGCCATTGTCATGGGCTGTGAGTTCCTTGCCTCTTTATAGAACAATATAACGCTATCATCTGAAAGATGAAAAGGGTGCCAGTCGCATGGACTATATTTATTGTATCCCATATGGTTTTCATCATTAGCCTGTTTCACCTGGCTATATGGACTTGTCCTCAGGTGTATGCTGTGCTGATCAGCGAGGAACTCTTGACCGACACATCTGTAGACAAGTACTTGAAGAAGATCGCTCCTGCAGGTACATTGTGTAATCAGAACTGTGCTGTAATCGTCAAGTACCGGCGGAATGTTGGCTTCATCACACATCCAGGGCCAATGTTGGGTCTAGGGTGACGCATAGGGTAGAGGTCTTAGCTCTTCATGTCTGGCGGTTCTTTGCCACCTTTTTTATGACTTGGATGTTTGTTAGACCCATGGTTGAGCCTTCCCTGATGATGGTTTTTCATAAACTCTCTTGGTCTTCCCCATATGAGGGCTGGGTGGGAAAGTCTGGTCTTATCCTTTCTGAATGCATGGCTGATGTAGTTCCAGTGGCACTTTCTTGTAAAATTGGATACATTATCTTGCTTGGTCTTGCGTTATGTTATTTAAATATTGCATAAAACAAATATAACACAATAGTATTAATAAATGACAGAATGATATCAAGTACAGGATACTTACCCAAATCAGAACAAATTCTAAAATAGAAAGCTGCCATCTGTTTTATGTTTTCATTTCTTCATTCACACATGAACATCTAGGGCAACAAAACACAAGCAACACATACTGCAACAATATCATCCTGATCGATCAGTCGATCAATCACTTTGTCCCCTCTGAACTGTTACCTAAAGGTTTACCATACTATCCTGAGACTAACAGGGGCTTTGTGGACTCGAGGAATGGTGTCTGCCTCGAGTGCTAGAGGTTCTGGGTTCAATCCCCGGTAAGGGCTGGGATTTTTTTCACGTGGACTTGGACTTCTAGTAATTCCCCCTGGTCTCTGAGTAGTGAGATCGGAGGCCTTGGAAATCGAAAAGAGTAGCCTAACGGCGCTGGTCTGACAAAAAATTGGAGATAAAAGCCTACCCAAAGTATTTCAGGATCCTCATCGGTGCTGCAGAGCCTGTGCACTGTGCTGAGCTTCTTTGGACTCAGACCTGAGTTAGAAGGAGAACGGCACACTTATGGGTTACACCTGTTTGCCATGATGTTGATCCGTCGTTCAAAACCTCAAAAACCTGTCTGGGTGGCAGACACACAAGAAAGATCCCAGTGTCCGTTCAACTTCCAGAGAAGTTATAATTAAGGCACCTGTAATGATTACACCAACCGGATGTAACCTGCAGTCCTGTGCAGATATGGACAATCATCATGTTCCATGCTTCTGAGCTTTTATGTTATTGAATACTAATTAAAGAATCAGCATCATAACACACCGGGGATACCCATAGATGCTCCGTCTCCCGCAGCAAATGTCTTAATGTGTGGATGCTAACTGTTCCCGTAGCACACTGATTTATACACACATCGTTCTCTTTATCTCATCCATCCCTCCTGGCTGGATCCACACTTAATCCCTCATTCACATATTTTTTCCACATGCTATTTCATCTAATCTCATGTCATCTGTCAGCAGTCATTCATATATGTCTTCAGAATATCTCCCTTGTCCAATACGAGTGTTCTCATAGCTTTTACTATTGTAGCCAGAAAATCCGCTCTTTCATTTCCTCACACTCCTGCAAATCCTGGACAGTATATCCACGCGATTCCCTGCAATGTTGGCGTACTGATGCATGGTATCCACTCATGCCACATTAGTCCATTTTGAACCTTCCACAATGCCGACTGAATCAAACACAATAATTCCTCTGGTAACTTTGTTTTCTGCTATCCAATTTAGAGCTACAGTGATTGCCTCCACTTCCATTCCCATGCTTTACGTTGTAGATAAAGAAAAGCTCCATTTTGTTCAGCCACAATGTTTCCCTTTATTCTAGCTGAAAATCCCAAGCCAGATCCTACACGCCGATGAACAGAACCATCGGTGTACAATACTACATCATCTAGCCAAGCCTTTCCATTTATCAGTTGTTGTACTAATCATTAACATGGAAGATGGCCTTTAATTTTCCTTTACTGGGATGCACTTTTCATCGTTAGGTGCCTTGCTGACAAGGCCCCTAATGATGATAAGTAAACACAGTTATGAAGTTATGTTACTGCTATTTCCTAACACCCTTGTTTTTGAAAAGTAGGATTGGATGCTCTAAATAATGTATAGAAATGATGACTCGCCTGAATCTGCAGGTCACCGAGCCCCGACAGCTGACTCCTTGGCGT